AACAGGTCTAAACCAGGTCTTAACCAGGACTGAACCAGGACTGAACTAAGTCTAAACCAGAACTGAACTAGGACTAAACTAGGTCTAAACCAGAAGTAAACCGTTCAGTCCTGGTCTGGTCCCAGTCCCGGTCTCAGTCCCGGTCTGGTCTCAGTCTGGTCTTGGTTTCAGTCCTGATCACCCGACAGTCTACGCAGGTGCACCTTCAAGCCCGTCCCGACACTCAGTCCTGGTTCATTCCTGGTTCATTCCTGGTTCATTCCTGGTTCAGTCCATTATCTGTTTTTTCCATTTTTCATTTAAACACAAAATCGAAAACTGAAAAAACAAATTGCTATTGTTTTTTTTTTTTCTCATTTTGGTTTTGGAGACAATAATGAAGAAAATAGTTGTTTTTTCATTTTCTTATTTTTGGTTTTATATTAAAAAATGATTGAACGAATGATACACAGATTTAAACAGACTAATAATAAAGTGTTACTCAAAACACGACCCTAGTAATGTTTTTGATGTTGTTGTGTATGATTTCGGATGTTTAAAACATGGTTAAAAGCTTAGATTGATTCGATTTATGTATTTTTGAAACAGAAGTATTTCAGAGTTTTTGCTTCCAGGCCTTTCACACAACAGCATTTTCTATTGTCACTGTGTCATGTGTGTGATTCTGACCTTGGGACTGGAGGGGTACGACACTTCACTGTTGTTAGATGAATAGATACCCCCCCGTGGTAGATACCCGCCAGTCTCCCATTCGCTCCTGTGCTCCGGGGGGCTGGGCGTGAGCGGGGTCATGGTCAGGGTCTGGTCCAGCTGCCGATACCGTCCGATTTTGGGCTCTTTCACTTTCTGCTGCTGGGGAGGGGGTGGAGGAGGGGGAGGAGGAGGTGGAGGTGGGGGAGGTGGAGGCGGGGGGGTGGGGCGAGGAGCGGGCTGAGGAGAGGAAGGTGGTCGTGACGTATGCGAGCCAGACGAAGGGGCGTACTGGGGGAACGGAGTGCGGGATGGCTGTTTGGGAGGAGGTTTGCGCCCTCTGCTGGTCAGCGTCGAGGGCACTGAAGGGGCGGATTTCCTCTTGGCGGGGGGAGAGGGAGGTCTGCGCTGCGGGGAGTAGCTGGGGGCGATGGTGGGGTTGAGTTTGGTTGAGGGGGGAGGGAGCGGGAGAGGAGGAGGAGGCTGGTTGGTGGTTGGTTGAGTCGGGGACAGTTTGATGTGAGGGCCTCTCAGGCTCTGGTCCACATGATCCAGGTTTATGTCGTCCAGGTCAGTCGTGGCCAAATGAAGACCACCAGGAAAACGCTTCACCTTTGGCTCTGACGCCGGAGAGCGAGGAGGAGAGAGCTGCAAATCAAATAGAAACAAGCAAGATATTATAATCAAGCATAACAACCAATAATTTCTTTAAAATTAAGCTCAGGTTAAAAGGTGGATTAAAGGGTTAAAGGGTCCGCCATCATGGAGATATTTTTTTTGCTTGGAATTTTTCACAGTATCATATTAAACATATTTATTTCCATGGAAACAAGCACCATGCCAATTTCAAGGTCAGATTTGTGAAGAGGTGGGCCTGCTTACGGTAGAATACATATTTTTCAAGGCATTGTTCTATGGTAAAAACACCTTTAAAGAAGACATATTGTGAATGAGTCTGCTACATACTTCTAATCATTCATGTTATATTTTAGGACCGGCATGGTTAGTACTTGGATGGGAATTCCAGGTGCCAGGGTCCAGGGTCATTGTGTCCTTCACCCACAAAGGCACTTCACCCACATTGCCTGGTATGAAAGTGATGTGTGCGTGTCAGTGTTGGTGGTTGGAGGAGCTAATGGTGCAGATTGGCAGCCTCACTTCAGTTAGTCAGCCCCAGGGCAGCTGTGGCTACAACTGATTCACTGATTTGTTTTTATTTTTTTAAGAGAAAAAATAATCATACTACATACTACATACACATTGTAAACAACAGAAAAGCATATTTCTCAAAAAGGAGTGGGAAGAAGAAAAAACATATGAACCCACCCATGTTCATGTTATAGTTTCAAAAATGATGTGGTTTCTTATGATCGCGGAACTTTACAAGTATTTACATATAGTAAAATAAATGTTATACTATGGTTGTACAGCCTAATTATAATGATAAAGATGGTACAGAAGTTTTTCGTTATGATCATACCAAAATAAGCAAAATGAAAATCTGAAAAATGGTCGTACAAACTAATAATTATGACAAAAAAGGCACAGAATTCATTGTTTATGATTGTATAAAAAGAAAATGTAATGTTAAAGAAAAGCATGTGTTTAGTTGATAGTCGTGGTTTACTTGTGAAGACAACAGCTTAAAAAAAGTAAGGGGTGAATAAATAAAACAATGCAAAACATGTTTGAGTGTCCAAGAAAGTGCTATAAAAACCTGATTCATTATTATTTCATTATTATCCTAATTTGCACATTTAAAATCACAATATTCATCTAAAATGACTTAATAAAAGAAACCAGTCCATTGAATTCTGTATTAGAAAACTCCCCAATAGGCTCTATTCAAGCTTACGTCACAAACCAGGAAGACGCTTGGAAACATGCGATTAGTTCCCGACACTGGGCTCGCCGACCGACTGTGATAAAACCCATGGAAGTAAATGCGATCAGAGGTAAAATAAAGATTGCATACATATGTGCTGTTTGGAATCATCTTGAATTTGGCGCCCTCATCTTATCTAATCGCATGTACCCAGTGCTCTTGGAGTTGTGTGTCAGTGGGGAAATGATGAAAACTGAGGTGTGGTTGGGGTGTAATTGTTGATTAGCCAAACATAACGTAACTCTACAGTGACATGTAGATGAAGAAAACTGGGCCATTTTCTCATTTTTCCTAAAATCTCCATCTTTCCAAACATCTTCCTAGTTTGTGACGTAAGCGTGAATAGAGTCTGTGGGAGCTGACGTCGCCTTAAATGTCATTGCAACAAAGAGGATATGGATTGATAGCTACACATCATACTAGCAAGCTGAGGACTTTTTTTTTTCCATTTGAACCAAAATGACAATGCAACTCTACCGAAACCGACATGTATCACAGATTTAAATATAATCTATGGGTGTATATGTATGTAAATCTTAAGGAAATATTTGTATGTTACCTGATATTACCCTAATAACTTAACAAAAACAAAGTGAGATTGAAAGATTAAAATGTATTGAGGTCGGTCTGTACCTCTGGAGAATCATTTTCGACGCAGGAGATCTGCTCGAGTCGTGTTTGACACAGTCTCTCCACCCAGTGCTGCACCTTCTCAGTCTCAGCTGGATCTTCTCTCTCTGTCTCTGAAACCTGCCCCAGAAACACACAACACAGAAGCTTTGGCATTTCACTGCAACAAAAATACCAAAGGTCTAACCCTTCCAGTGGCATTAAACTCCCCGTCTCTTCTGTAGTGAAAAGTTCAGTCGTACCTCTTGGACCAGACGGTTGATTTTCAGTTGCTTCTCTCGTTCGTACATTTCTTCTTTCTCTTTGGCGAGTTTGAGTTCAAATTCCATCTCTTTTTTACTTTTCCGCAAATCTCGCATCGTGTCAGTGTTTGATGTTTTCTTCTTTTTCTTCTTCTTATCTCCTTTCTAAGATGTCATTTTGTTTAAAGCATCAACATATAAAACCATCAATAACATGAAGCAGCTCAGTCACAGCAAACCAGGCTTTTGACATGCAATGAGAAACACTAGAGGCACTGCAAATACTAAGTGGTGTAAGAAGTACTCCATTTTGTTACTCAAGTAAAAGTACAAATATCGGAGCAAAGAAAAACACTCAAGTAAAAAATACAAGTAAAATAATCACATGAAAAAAATAAAAGTAAAAGTATTAAAGTGCCCGTTTTAAAATGTACTTAAAAAGTAAAAGTATTTTGTGCAGATTTTGAGGTCTAATAAAGCTTCAAATGTAGTGATTTTGATACAGATTTGTGCTGAATTTTGATCAACAAAAGTGAATTCATAGTTTTTTCTAGTATATTTTTGTTTGCTCAAATATGAACGTGTTAAAAAATAAATCATCAGTCTTTTCTTCAGGTTTCAAACAATAATAAAAAATACTTTTACTTTTCAGTCCTGTTAAAAATGTAGTGTATTAGAAAGTACAGATATCTGCTCTCAAATGTACAGAAGTAAAAGTAAAACATACTCACTTACAAATTATATGTATCTGTACTTTACTTGAGTACTTTAATACTTTTACTTCGTTACATTCCACCGCTGAAAACTACTAAAGTGAAGAGTTAAAAAACCCACACCAAACAGCATTACAAAATACCTTGCGGATTGACGGGAGTTTACCCTCATATCGATAAAACCAGCCAAATGCTACAAATAAAGATACACATTTTGTAATTCAAAAAAGAACATTTCAGTTTCATTTAGAGATAGACCGATACATAAGTTCACCAATATCCTGCTCTGATATTTACACTTTTTAGCGTATCGGCTTGGGTCCCATCACCTGCTTGTCTCCGGGGAAATTTTATTGTTTGTTTTTGCACAGTGCACCTTTAAATCTGCATCACAGGTTTGTTTTGGCCAACCTGACAAAGCTTTGTTGTAACATTTTAATACTAAGAGACACACACAAACCTTGACTACACAGCTCTCTTAAATGTTTGAGGTAAAAAAGGGCTGCAAGTCAGTTTGAAGTCAATTGAAATTTGAGTAAAATCATCAAAATATCGGCCTAAAAATATCAGCATGGTTTATAGGACATTTTTTCTGGATTCTAAGCAATCAGTATCAGCATCAGTCATGAAAGAATCCATAAGAACCCGTATCGGTCGATGTCTAACTTCATTATAACAGCAGCACAACAAACCATTTCAGACACACATCTTTGCCTGTGCACTGGTCTGTCTCCACTAGTTGTTTCTTGGTTGTCAAAGGAAATTCAGCGTTGCACAATGTCAACAGTAAAGTATGTGACAGATTTTAAAAACACAAACAAGTTGATGCTCTGGACTCACGTGCTCATCCTCGTCTTCCACTGTGAAGGACACAAGAGGCACCACCGCACACACAGCAAGAACATGCAGAGAGGAGAATGTTAAAGTGTCACAGGGCTGCACAACAGATCGCAAAAATATCGATATCGCAATGTTGGCTGTTGCAGTAACTGAGCGTAGTGCTTCGCTCATTGATTCTGCAGAGATTTGCCATGTTTTTTAGTCTGCTGTGATCTTTTTTCCTTATTTATTTTTTGATATGGACACATCATGGGTGTCCCTGATTGGCTAATCCATCTGTCAATCACACCCATTTAAAAACAGGGAGATTCACCGGTGACCAGACCTCAAATTTTCGTAATAAAGAAGTGCTTTTTGAGAGTAAAACTGACAAAATTTTCTTTATTTGTTCTGAAATCCGCCACACAGTACAGAATTTTTTGGTCTCATAAGATTCTATAAGATTAAATATTGTTTGAGACTTAAAATACTGCAGCGGGATATGTCTGTGGACGACAGGCTATAAATCTGTGTGCATGATCGCGTCAGCTGTTTCCTGACATTAGAAAAACCACTCGCTTTGAGATTCTTTAAGTGTTCAAAAGATCAGAGCACTGCACTTGTAGTTTAGACACAAGTTAAAACTGTGTTATTACTATTTGTGAAATGTGTTGCAAAACTTCAGATACATGATTTTTTAAAGCATAAAAGATTGGCGATAAAGTACACAGGAAGTAGAGTCTCGATCGCTAATCTGCAGCTTCACCTCGATCCGTGCACTGTGTGGATGTAAACAAACACACGTGAGGAACTACTCGCACCTTTTTACTTTTAAAGAACGCCTTAAACTGGATTAACAGCGCAGTTTTGCTGACTAGATGTCATTATTTGCGGAGGACAATATCTACAGATAATATGGATGTGATGCTGCACTTTAAATTCACCATTTTACAAGAGGTGAGTAATAAAGTCTTCATGATTTTCGCTATATACCAAGTTTGTATCATGTATCTCTATGCCCGTCATTCCTCTGCCCCTGAAGCTCTGTTTTATTGTCTGTTTCTGTAGCGTTGCTGATGTTTGGTGGTTATGATCTGACAGAGGAGTTCAGAGTCACACAGACACACACACAGTGGCTTTAAAATCGCACACAAAGACACAAAATCGGGTCAGACCTCCCTGAGCTCACAGCTAAAATCGAGCAAATTCTCCTGTAGTGTATTGCGGCCTTTAGTCTAATTAGTGTTAAGGTTTTTGGTTTTTTTGACATGGTTTGGCTGGTAAATAAAGTACTTTTTTTTTTATTTAACTGAATTTAATGTGCCAAAAAGAAAGTTAAAAGTTAAAATATCTGAAAAATATTGTTATCACACTGCAAAACATAGTAATCCAACACTGCATATGTTTTCTCATATTGTGCACCCCTAAAGCATAACCTATAGTACGACATTAGTGTTAAAAGGTACAAGTCCATGCAATAATACTATATGGATAATTCTTACGGGAACTCTTAGCTTTTGGAGAGGGTGTCTTAATCTCAGGTGGACCCGGGGAGGGGCTTCTGGGGCTTTTGGGTCTGTTTTGGGTCCCCCAGTCTTCCTCCCAGTCTCTGTTATGTTTACGCTCCACAGCTTCGATCCTAAAAGCAAAACACACACGGGATTACAACTCAAAACTGCGATGTGTTTTTCTTTTATAAAACAAATGATGTTCCATACTTATTCATTTCGCTCTTATAACGCTCCTCTTCCTCTGTCATCTTCTGGGAGATCTCCATCTTTCTCCTGTTAAGAGCAGTAAGTGCGATTTATAGAGGCTATTCCTAAAAAGTGTGATCTGAATTTTGAGAGTAACAATAGATGATAAAACATGGCGTAGAGTACTTAAAAACAAGAATGAAAAAAAAAAAGAAGAAGCAGCAACAAACAGACCTACTGATATCTCAAATTAAGACATGGTTTTAATTGACTAAATAAATTATACATGTTTAAGAAGAGAAGGGCATTGGTCTGATTAAAGGTCCTATATTACAATAAATTGACTCTTGTGAGCTTTAAGCAGTGCTATAATGTTGTTACTTCCTCTATAACATACCAGGAGTTATGTGTTGTTTCATTCATGCAAGTTTGACTAACCCTTTATCTGTCTGTCTGTATCTCCAAAGCTCAAAATGCTCTGTTCCACCTTGTGATGTCATGTAGAGCATTGTTTCCCAAAGACTGGGTCGAAAGAGATTTTTTTTTTTTGCCTTGTCACCTTGTCACGATCTGCATGTAGGTCTGCAATAGACAGTTCTGACACATGAGAGAGCTAGTGAGTCAGTGAATCCTATCTGCCTGCCCTGAACAAATGTTCCTGCAGCTAAAGTTGAGAAAGGCTTGCTTGGTTATCCAAAAAGAAGGGTGATAAATCAGCAAAGGTCACTGCACTTCAGTGAACTTGCTGGTTCAATTACCATTTTTCATTGTTTAAAACTTGAGTAATAACAATAAAACATCCTCATTAATGTTCAATAATGGTCAAATCCACTTTCATTTTGTGATTTACGAAAATGTCTATTGACTTGGGTCGCGAAGTTTTGTGACTTTTAAAATATGGGTCCCCAGAAAAAACACTGATATAGAGATAGTTTTCAAGTTAACAGCTGCTTTTACATTTAGTTCAGTAGAGATTGACAATTCCAGGGCTGAAATTATTCAAATGATTGTTACGAAGGTGTATGGAATTTAAAAACACCTTGGAGCATTTTCAGTTTGAGAGAATTCAGCCTAAGTATGCAGGATTTGTGTTGAATCGTGAAACGCGTCGGGACTTTGTAAGTTGTCCATTAAGACATGCTGTAAATTAATTAAGGCATTTTATTTTAACCAGTGAGTGCCTTGGGTTTTTTGCAACTTTAAGCAGGATTTGTGTGTTGAACATGGTGAATGAAAGAAAACATAACTCCAGGTCTGTTTGTGATGAGGAAACAACATTATAACAGACCAGAAAATAGCGTAACATGGATCTTTAAGGTTGTAGCAGCTGTGAGTGCGAATTGCAAATGCCTCAGTAATAAATAAAATACAATATACCGAGCTGAAGTTAACAACAGCTACAGCCACAAATGCACTTAAACTTCGACTTAGACAAACTTTATTGATCCACAAGGGAAATAACTTAATTGTGTTACCCAAATAATCAACTCCTATTAACAAGATATTTTAGACAGCCATCCACACAGCAGCTATAAGAACCATCTGCCAGTTTACACAGTTAACACTTGTGCAGTCAGTCTGTAATTACTGTAACGTAATTACCGTAACGTAATTACTGCTTTTTGATTGAATATTTGTCAACGACTGCTTTGCTAATTAGAAGAAGCACACTCAGAATGTCTCCTCTTGACTAAATGGAAAAGGATAGGACACGAGAGAGTGGTCCCTGACGGAGCAGAGTAAATTGGACTCACTGTCTCTCCTTCTCTTGCTGCTCTTTGATGATTTTGTTGGTCTCCAGCGCCACTTTTTTCTGATGCATCAGCTCCTGTCGATCCAGCTCCCGTCGGGCTTCCACTGCCAAGCGCTCCTCGTCTGTCATAAACAGCTCACTGCCCTGAGAGACCAATCACACACAGGCAAGGAGGTTTAAACTTTTGCACTATGGAGCTTTTCAAGAACAGGATACACCACATAATTGTCTAGAAACATGTTTTCAGGAGAGGTGAATCCGTGTATTGTTCTTTCATTTGTTTTTCAAGATAAAACTAAAATTAAGAAAACGAAAAAACAACAATTTTCTTTATTATTTGTCTCCAAAACCAAAATGAAAAAACCTATATTGATTTATTTTTTCAGTTTCTGATTTTGTGTTTGAATGAATAATGGAAAAAACGGATAACGGACGTTTTCTCTTTACGTGACTTACACTGCGATGCCGGACTGAACCAGGACTAAAACAGGACTGAACCAAGACTGAACCAGGACTGAACCAGGACTAAAACAGGACTGAGTGTCGGGATGGGCCCAGAGGTGCACCCACGTAAACTGTCAGGACTGACACCAAGACCAGACCGGGAGCAGATTAGGACTGAGACCGGGAACAGCCCAGAACTGAGACCAGGACTGAGACCTGGACCTGGTTTAGTCCTGGTTCAGTCCGTATGGGGCGGAAAAGTCCAGCATCACAGTTTAAGTCACGTAAACGGGATAAACCGTTATCCGTTTTTTTCCATTATTCATTTAAACACAAAATCAAAAACTGAAAAAAATGAATTGTTATCCGTTTTTTGATTTTGGTTTTGGAGACAAATAATGAAAAAAATTTGTTTTATTTAGAAAAACTAATGAAAGAATGATACACTGATTGAGGTGGTCTTATTAAACCATCTTCTCACTCTCTCCTGCACATTCATTTTTATGTTTTGCTTTTGTTTACAATGTTTTTTTTTACTGTATGAGCAAATAACATCTAATCTAATCTATAATTTGTCATTTTGCTAATCTTTGTGTCACACCAAACTCCATCCTCGGATTCTTCATTGAGCCCATCCGACAAATGAAAAGCATTTGACAGGCTCCACATAAAATCGTATCAGACTCATAGAGGATAAATGTCCAGCTCACAGACAGACTGACTGAACCACGAAGGACGTAATGTGATTTCTTTAAATGCACAAATAAATCACAAATCCTTCTGAGAGACAAACATTTACCACTGTTGTTCCTGTTTGAAATGTCAGTATTGAACCAGTATGAAGTGTTAAGCAAATGATTTAGGATCCAAGCCACAAGGGGCCAGTAAAAAAAACTAATTACTCTCATTTAAGGCATTTGAGGTGACTGATGTCTGCGCTCTCTCTCTCTCTCTCTGCTCTGTTTTAGCTATGGACTCTATAAAGAAGTGGACTAAGGGAGTGTGACATCATCCATATGTCACTCGTTCAGCTCCAGTCAAGTGAAGCTCATCGAGGCCGGTAGTTACGTGGGCAAATTTGGAGCCAGGTCCATATTAGGAATTGTAATTACGGAAAAATAGCAAAATAAAGACACCAGGATCATGTAGATCAGGGGTGTCAAACTCATTTTGGTCCGGGGGCCATATCGAACTTACTTTGATCCCAAAGGGGCCGGATCATGTCATATAAACACCAAAAATAACAATAAGTTCAAATATTTGTGCAGAGAAACACAAATCTATTACAAAATTTTTTTTTAACTGATTAATTCTTTCTTTTACAAAATATAATTTTAAGAACAACTTGAAACTTTAAGAAAAATTTAATTTCAACACAAAGTTTTAACATGAACTTGTATGTAAATAGGAATAAGTAAATTTTTCTTTTAAAATCCTGCACTCGGCTCCACTTTTCTCATGTTGGACATTGATTTCAGTCAAAACAATCGTCCTTTAAGAGAGTTTGGAAAGAGACAAGTCTTCATTTGTGCTGCTCTGGTGGGAGGGGCCACGCACAGAGACGCTTGAGACGCTGATATGATAAACACCAAAGAAAATTAACAATATTTTAATAGAAAATATAATTAAAATATTTTAGTAGAAAATCAGCCGAGGGCCAGATTAAAGGTCTTAGAGGGCCGGATCTGGCCCCCAGGCCATATGTTTGACACCTGTGATGTAGATCATACACATAACTTTATATTTATTTATTTACAGCGGACCTGTTCATATATATATTTTTCTCATTTATATATGTCATACATATTTATGTATGTTATACCTAATTCTGTTCATACTGCCATATTTAATTGTATATATTCACTACAGTCTACACTGTAATACACTGTATATTTTCTATATTGTATTTATTGTATTTCCTTATGATTAGCTGCTAAACCACATTGTATTACCTTGTGTTAATACATGTGTAATGACAATAAAGTTTACTCTAATCTATTCTAGAGCAGGTTAATACAAACATTTTAAGACCAAAATGAGGAGCCCGACAGCAGCAGTTATAGAAAGAGGGGCGATGTTTTTTTCAATAGAAAGTAAATTGGAGCCAGTCAATGGACCCAGAAGCGCCCCCATGCTCACTTCCTTTTTGTTTTTCACTTCATATATATACATTGTCTATGGTTTTAGCTTCCTGCACCATTTCAAGGACTTTTGCAACAGATATAACAATAAATTGTTAAAGAGGCAATATTACACTTGTAAGTTGTATTATTGCTAACACACAACATATTAAGATTACCATGTTACTGTTTACTGTTTTGAAAATGCTATCATAAAATGTATTTATTTCTCATAAGATCTCCTCTGCAAACAGTCCCCAGTTTCTCATCGCTCTGAAACCCATGGATAGTTGTAAAATGTAAACAAATGCACTTACAGCCCCCGTCAGAACAGTAATAGTCAGGCTTCTGCTACTCTTCAACACTTTAACAGCCTGGAAACAACAAAACAAAACACTTTTAATTTAATTTCACTGTTAAAGTCACATTTACAAAAAAAAAAAACACCAGCTGCTTCTCGCATACCAATTTAGATTAATGACAGAGATAGTGATAGTGACAAACAAACACAGATTTAAATTACATGTTTTGAAGCGAACACGGGGCAAATACAATCAAATTGTTGTAAATACTGGAGGTGATGTTCCGTCTGGTTGCCGACATGACAACAGCTGCTAAAAATCATTTGTCTAATTTCTGCAGCTCAGTGGATTAATCTAAAAGTACATATTTACCTAATGAAACTACCAGCCAGACTGCTAACCAAACATTTACCTCTCTGTGATCCACACTGGTGAAGTCCACCCCGTTCACCTCCACAATCTGATCTCCAATCTGAAATAAAGAGACAAAAATACAGTGATTTTGTTTTATAACAGTCACTGGCGGCTCCGAGGTCCGCTGGGGTTATGAAAGTCAATTTCTCGTAATTTTTCCCAAAAGGCTTCCTGAAATATTTTAAGGCAGGGCAGGGAATAACCAGCTTTGAGGTCATTTTCAGTCTAGAAATATATATCTAACATACTTGACGTTTTTATTTCGAGTTTGTGCCAAGAGAGAAACGATAATACACATACTACACATACACTGTAAACAACAGAAAAGCACAATTCTCGAAAAGGAGTGAGAAGAAAAAAATAACCCCTGTTCATGACATAGTTTCAAAAATGATGTAGTTTCTTATGCACATATAGTAAAACCTACAAACTAATAATAATGATAAAGAAGGCACAGAAGTTTATCATTTATTTAAAGGTGCACTGTGTAACTTTTCTGGCAGAGGGCCCGCCACAAACCTGTTTCCATGGAGATATTATTGCTTTGTCTGAAAGGTCTTACAGTATGGCATTAAACTCATCTATGTTGCATTTATTCAATTACAGGTGTTTTGCTGCTAAAAATATTTTTTTAAAACAGTATTCCTACAGTGAGTGAGCTCGCCTCTCCGCAGATCTGACTTGTAACTTGGTCTAGAGGCATTGTTGGCTTGTCTCCATGAAAATAGATAGGTTTAATGACTGAGGGACATTCTAAACAAAGCAATAGCATTTCCATGAAGGCAAGACCCTCCACCAGAAAACTACACAGTGCACAACTTGTCTGGTGGGGGGTACACTACCTACTTGTCTCCATGCAGATGTTATTGTTTTGCCTGGAATGTTTCATGATATAACATTAAAAATATCCACCCAGCATTATTCAGCATTAATGTTAAAGTGACTATCAGTGTTGATGTTTTGTCTGGAAAAGGGAAAAGGGGGCAGATAACAAAGATTATAATAAAAGGTAACTAAAGATAATAAAGATGACTCTTCTTTCTGCTCCTTTTCATTCATTTCTTTGATGTTTGATGTTGTGACACTGTTAATGTCTTTTTATACTTTATGAATGAAATAAATAAACAAAATAATTATATTCAAGATGGGTGTTTCTATTGCTCAAAAATACAATAATTCCTTCTGTGAATACAACGATTCTCCACAGATCTACACTCTAATATAGCGTAGTGCTTTAACCTGCTTGTCTCCCTCGTGATAGATAGGTTTAATCTGTAGTGTGGAACATTCTAGTCAAAGCAATAACATCTCCATGGAGACAGGCAGTGCACTTTTAAAAGTGCACTAATTTATCTGGTGGAGGCTGTGCCAACTGCTCTCATGAAATGGTTCCACAGCATGATATCACCTAACTAGCTGTCATTTACCCAATTGTGGGAATTTCAGGAATATATTGTAATTTAAATGAGGTGTCTTATGAACATGGATGCCTGATTATCTCCCAGAAAGCTCTAAATAGGTTACATGACCAGCTTGAACCACATGCTTTGACAAAATTTTACAAAGATGAGTGGATCTGGAGCTGTGTTCTGTCTCCCTGATTTCAGAGGGTGTGATTGACAGGCGGATTAACCAATCAAAGAGACACATGCTCCCTTTGCGTTAAAAACAAACATGACTGCTTAGTGCTTACATGTAAAAAAATAAAGGAAAAAACTACCTTAAAGGTTGAGAAACTGAGTGAATTTTTTTTACAGAATCAACAATCAAAGCACCAAACTATTACTTATCTCAGGTAAAAGAAGTTACACGTTTTGTTCTGGATGGTTCAAGTATTTTTTGAGTAATGTTTTGCGCATTTAACAGACACGTGATACAAATTGGCGACTGTGGTTGGATCGTCTCAAGTTTGGACAAAGGATTTTCACCCTCTGCTGTCTGGTTCTACATTCTGTTCAAATCCAGACGGGACTGGGGCTGGTCAGGCAACTCTACAGGTGTTTTGGTGTGGGATTTTTGTCAAGGGAGACCAGACGTCCCTATTTACACGAGCCCTGTGTCCCCTGTCTCATCAGATAAATCTAAAACCATTTATTTGTCCCAGTTTTAAATAAGAAATGTGCATTTCTTATTTAAAAAATGTATTTTTGACCAATTTGATCCCTATTGACTATAAAGAGAGGCATAAATTATTGGTAATCTGTAAAATACAAAAAAGCTGCTTAAAAATGACCAAAACACAAAGAAAATGTGACTATACTGACTCACATGATAGTCATGAATGATCTCTGCATAGTAATTGTCCTTAATTATGCGCTCATTTCACAATTTTATAATTACGAACTGCCAAAAAAATGAAGATGTCCCAGTTTTTTATTCTGAAATTCTGGTCACCCTATTTTGGTTGAAAAGTCTATAGGAAAAATGAATGGGAATATTACTTCAGAAGCCAAGAGGGCAGGACAATTGAGCTTTGTTATTGATACTTTGCTGGAATCAAGCTGGGGGTGTTCTACATGTATTTCTATAGTGGAATATGTCTGTCCATGTAGGGCTGGGTATCATTAAGAAGTTGCCGATACAATACATACCTTGACACACAGGCCACGATACAGTGCACTTCTGATACGATACAATATTTTTCAAATCGATTCAATACGGTTCAAGAAAAAATAAAGGCTAAATCATGGCTGTGATACTAAAAGTCTTTGTTAAACCACTTCTTGTGCAAAGTAAATATGAAACACAAATATTTTAATCATAAAAACAGTGAAAATGTCAAATGTGTTCGCAGAAATGAGTTTCCTTCCACTAAACAAACAACAAAACTGAAGCGCTGTAACAAAATAATTGAGTAAAATATACTCCAAAAAAATACTCTTGATGATATATCAATACAAGAGTCCACAATATCGATACTGTTTGATCACATTAAATCATACAATATAATCGATATTTCAATATTTTTGCACACCCCTAGTTACCATGGTGACACAAAGCACAAACTGGCAAACATCAATAAAAAAAAAGTTCTAAGATTGTCTGAAAACTCATGAAAAAATACAAAATGGATTTAAACAGCACATTTTCAGGAGCCTTCGATCAAAATGAGCATTCATGGTTTTCTTAAAGAGTTTGATTTTCAACAAAAAGTGAGTAGAGTGACTGACTGTGACTGAAATTTTATGTGTGAGAGACTTGTTTAACAGGACAAATCCAGCTAAGTCAGTTCTTTCTGGTCAGACTGTGGTAAAATAAAGCTCTGATTAAAGTCTACTAAAGCCTCAGAAAGAGTAGTGCCTTCAGTTAGCATCACACCCCCAGTGAATACTGATGGTATACGCTGCAAAGTAACACAATAGCTTCATTTTTAGAACTAGAAAAATGCTCTAGTTACCTCAAGACCAACTTCTGCAGACAGTGACCCAGGTTTGACGTTGCTGATGTAGATGCCGGGCTTTTGGGTGGGTCCGCTGGAGATGCTGATGCCCATGCCCTTCGTGCCCACCAGACTCAGGAACACCTTCTTCTCCTTGATCTCCTTTCCTCCGATAGAAGCCAAACCTGCCAAACTGTTTTTCCTCTCCTGCACCAAACAAAAAAAGTCTTCAATACAAAAGGAGGGAGAGAGTTAAGAAAAGATGTTTTCTTTATATCTCACCCCAGATTCAGAGACAAACTGATCCACAAACTGCCACTTGAGAGGATCATCTGAGGAGCTAAAACAGACAAAACAGAATAGAGATCAGGATCAAATGTTTTAAAAGTAGCCATTATTGACAAAATCTGCCATATCTGCAAGCATTAGCCAAAACAAAGTTAAAGGGCCCATATTGTGCTATTTTGTGATCCTTTATAATGTTGTTTCCTCATCAAAAATTGTTGCATTCACACATATTTAGGCCAAATTCTTCTCTCAAACTGAAAACACTTTGTTCCACATTGTGATGTCATGTGGTAATACAAGAAGTGCTCCATTATGTTTCTACACTACACCTTTACTAGAATAATTTGGAAGATTTCAGACCTGGAACTGTCAATCTTTACTGAACTTTTTTTTTTTTTTTTTTTTTTTTTAGTAGTAGTTGTAGTTTTTTATTCTGTCATTTTGCAGCACTACAAAACAAAAACAAAACAAAACAGACTACAAACCCATGGATAACTAAAGGTAAAAAGTAGCTGTAAACATGGAAACTACCACTTCATGACATCACAAGGAGGAACAGAGTATTCTGAGCTTTGGAGAAGTAGACAAACTAATAAAAAAGATTATTCAGACATGTGTAAAAGAAACAAAACACAACTCCAGGTCTGTTTTTGATGAAGAAGCAACATTATATTATATCATTTTTGTGTAATATAGGATCTTTCACATGTACATAACCCAAATCAATAAAATGAGGAGTCACTGCCCTGGTAAACTAATGTAATAGAATACTTAAGAATACGTCTAAGTTTAGTACTTAGTATCTTAAAATCTCCATTAAAATGAGAAATGCACATACACAATACCAAGCTCAAAAGCTGCAGTAATGGGTCTGTGAAAGAATTTATGTGTTATTTAAATATTATGCATAAGCATTTGTGTGTTCATTTAAATTCCTTTATCTTTTGTGTGTGTGATTAAAGTTATCAACAATTGCTTTTTGGGTTTTTCCATATGTATGTCATATGTCCTAGTTCAAGAACTTCTGACTCTTTAAGCTAATCTACTGAGTCACCCATGAGAAGACAGCTAAGGGTTTTTCCCCTCATGTGGTTAGCATAAGTTTTTGGGAGAAAACTGACCAAATTGTTTATCACCTGGAGCCTGTAATCAAGTGTGAAATGGGAGGGTGGTTTAGCCTAAAGATTGTTAGCATGTGATCATTGTAAACGTTGTGTGATATAACATAATGTACTGTATTGTTATCTGTGAAATGACTGCAATAAATACTGCTGTTGGGAGAAGAGCTGGCAGAGTAGAGTAGGCTCAGCCAGTGGTATTGACAGCTCTGACAGCTCTCTCTCCCTTGCGCAAGTGATTACTTTTAACTGTCTCGTTTTGGTGTGTCTTTATTTAATGTAATTTGATGTCTTAGGGTAAATTCCCTGACAGGGTCCTTTATGTTTTTATTGGTACGGATGTGAGAATGTGTCTAATTTATTTATTCATTTTTACTGCTACAGATTTGCTTTGTTGAAGTTTCGTTGTATTTTGTGCAATGACAATAAATCGAAATCTAATGTAATCTTCATAAATAGTAAAGACCATTTACCTTTTCACAGGAATCATGCCAACATCTGCGAGGACAGAATATATAATGAGTTATACATTTTTACATTTAAGATAAGACATTTAAAACACTTTTAATTGAGATCTTGACTTACGCCTGACTTTAAGAGACACGATCTTCTTGGTCTTGATGAGGCTGATGACTTCTTCGTGGATACAGGAGGAAATGGAGTAACCGTTGATGCGAACAATCTCATCACCGACCTGAAAATCAGTGACAAACTGTTCAATACATGAGATAAACGATACATGTTTACAGTCAATACTTGAATGAATATGGATTAAATTACTCTAATTTATTGTCTAATACTGTAATACATGTCCGTGTAATCCTATTAACATAGTTATAGTTTAGTCGTTTATGATTGTTGTACATAATTCACGAATATGTTTAGACAGTGACTCTGATTTCATACTGAGGAACAAAAGACACAGATCTCCACCTTGTGGTTATATTAATTATTACATAGGTAGTTATGCATTTTTATAATTCTCTATTTTTGGTGTGACAATACCTGTTTCAAATCGAAATTGTAGCTTTACACAAATCAAGAAGCAATTTGCAAAGAAAAGTAAAAAAAAAATAAATGTAAAATTACACATTTTTCTGAGATTGTAAAAATTATTTCAACAAAATAAAGGTGTTTTCTAATATTTTTAATCGTCAAATAATAATTTTTATATACATTAGAGGAATTTTGGTCCAGTGTACCAAATGGCTACTAGGTAACAGTTATGGAACTAAAAAAAATCGCCATACTATATAAATTTGAAAATTTTTAGCAAAATCTTAATAATGATCTTAAGTGTGTTTAAATAAAATGAGTAGTCTCAGCTGTCATAGGCAAATTAACACTGATACTGAGTAAAAACTATAACAAAAAGAGCAGATACCTGAAGGCCAACATTAGCAGCCTGTCCGTCTTTTACAATCTGTGAAATATAAAGACCGCAGCCAAACTCCAGTCCTCCTCTCACACTCAGACCGAGACCATCGCGGTGAGTCCGGTCCAAACGCACCTCTTTCAGCTTCCTACACAAGTACAAAGAAAAGTATTACAGCATATTTTACAATCATGAGGATAAACATGTATGAAAGGTTTTGACAATTCTCTAATTTTTTGCCTGATTTAAATATAAATTATAATTTTACAACAATCAAGAAGTAGTTTGTGAACAAATGTAAAAACAAAAAACAAAAAAGAAAAAGTACAGGACGTGGAGAGTTTATTTTTTTGAGAGAATTCTATATTAATGCACTAGAGAGAATTCAGTTATGAAATTCCCTAGTGTGATGCCATGATTTCCAAACAGGAACAAAAATTTTAAACCTAAAATATTGCCAGATTGTGAAGTAATCGTAAAATTGGTGTACAATCTTAAATATAATGAGCTTAACTAAGAGTGGACAAAAATATTGAAATATCGATATATCGTATAGTTTAATGTGAAGATACAGTGTCAATATCGCGGGCTGCTGTATCAATACATCGCCAAGAGAATTTTTGGGTGTTTTTTACTCAATTATTTTGTTATAGCACTACAGTTTTGTTGCTTGTTTAGAGGAAGGAAACTCATTTATGCAACACTTTTGATATTTTTACAGTTTTTATGAGTAAAAGTGGTGTGTTTCATATGAACTTTGCACAAGAGTTGGTTTAACAAAGACTTTTAGTATCACAGCCATGATTTAGCTTTTATTTTTTATTAAACAGATTTGGAACGATTTGAAATATATATCGTATCAAACCAAAACTGCACTGTATCATCGAGATATGTATCGTACCATGGCCTATGTATCAAAGTATGTATAGTATCGGCAACTTCTTAATGATACCCAGCCGTAATCTTAATTGTGTTTTAGTAAAATGAGTGGTCCACCCTGTAATAGGCACTTTAAAGAGCAGGGTCAATTACAAAGTACTTTAAAGGGAATGCCTGAACCCACCTGGACCTCTTGGGGGTGAGCAGGTCGTACTCCACTTGGTGTTTCAGAGGGATGAGAGGTCGGATTGCATCAAACAAAGGCAGGCGCTTTGGTTCATTTATGACCAGCTTCAGATCACCCACCAGCACAGCCAAATCCATGGACCTGAGGAGTGAGATTAACACAGACATGTCATTTTAAATCGTCTGAAAAACACAATTCATTTCTCAATATTCAAAATCTTTAAACTCAAAACTAGTCTATGAACAGTTTGCTATGAGTTAACATTGTTACTTACACACGTGGTCCTTTATTCATTCAATCATTTTATTTATGTTAAAGGCACATGCAGAAGATTAAACTGGAATTGTGATGCTTTTTGTACACACATAAAAAACAAAACAAAAAGTTGTAAAAGAAAAAAAACAAGCATATTCCAAGACACACAGAAGGTGGTATGTGGAGGGGCTCCTGGGGCTAGACTAGTATACAGTTATTTATGTTTTATTATTCTTGTTTTGTTTTACATTTATAAACTCTTTTATTACCATACTACCTCTCCAAATTATTCCAGAACAGGTCCCCACTCACTAGACTCTAAAAAAATCACTTGGTCCGTTAAAAAGTGGACAAAACCCAGGTAGGTAGAACAATAGTTTGGATAAATTCACTTTGTGTATAAAATCTGTCCACCAGGTTTCTGCAGTAAATTATTGATGAGTGCAGTTCCAATCCTGTTCGTGGGATGAATATGAAAAGCCCTTTTGTTTACAACTGGCCAGGCCTGTCAGGAGCAGTGGAAACTGTGCTCAGCCAATGGGAACACGGCGCTCCAGCTTTGTACAAACATGAATAGACTTAGAGCAGCAGCCCCCTGCAATCCACAGGTTGTTATTACACTGTACAGGGAAGAGTTTAGGAGCAACCTGCAGTTATTGTGTTATAATCTGGTCCAATCTGTAGTCTATAAATATATAAAATGTATGATAATAGTGGGTAACACTTTATTATTAGCCTGTTTACACCTCCAAAACTCAAAATGCTTTGTTCCATCTTGTGATGTCATGAAGTGGTAGTTTTCAAGTTAACAGCTCCTTTTATATTTAGTTCAGTAAAAATTGGAAAATCCAGGAAATCATCCAAATGACTCTATTGAAGATGTATGGAGTTCAAAAACACAGTGGAGCACTTCCTGTATTATTACCACATGACATCATAAGGTGGAACAGAGTGTTTACGGTTTGAGAGAAATCTAAGTATGCAGGTTTGTGTGTTAAAACATGTGTGAATGAAACAAAACATAACTCCAGGTCTGTTTCTGATGAGGAAACTTTATAACATAGATAAGAAAATTGTGTAATATTGCTGATTTGTTTGTCAAACAATGAAACATCCAAATAAAATTAAACATCCAACATTAATTTTATGAAAGTCACGACTATTAAATACAGTCATAATATTAATGGCTTTTGTTATGATGTAATATCAACAGCCAGTGTCAAAGTATCCAAGGAAACTCAAACTACAACACTGGTTAACGCAGAGTTTCCCATTAATGCATAAGACTATAGTGGCCCGCCATAGTCTAAAATTCTCCCACATAGTCTAAAAACAATCTGGATTATATAAGCATAACAAAATTAGACTTTGTTACTCATTGTAGACAGGTAGGTAGGTTCTTAATTGATCCCAAAGGAAATTCAAGTTCAGCAGCAACATAAAAACAAAACCACCAACATAGAAAAAATGTAAAGTTGGCAGACCATCCTCTTGTATTATTTTAAAACCTTATAAATATATAAAAGAAAAAAAAAGACTGCTTAAAGATTAAATATAGGCAGTAAGTGATGTTAATACTCCTCAAATTTGAATAGAGAAGTATAATTATTCACATAAAAATGACTTGTGCCACCATAATCTTAACCAAATCTACGGGAAATGTAATGTTGTCATGATACTCACTGGTGGTACATGCGGAGAACATCATAGAGATAATCCTTCTCTGCTTCATTCTCTATTAGAAGCTCCACCTGCAAAACAATACACCTTTACAACACCAGAATACATAAACAAAATTACAAAAATCCAGTTTGTTAAGATATTATCCCACAAACAAACCTGATGGCAGCTGAGATGAAGAAGTAAAGTTTTGAGAAAGCGCTTGGGCCAATCACTGATGTAACACATGTTCAGATAATGTGAGCTAACACCACTATAAAACTGTGCACATATGAAAGATGCAAAGCTCCTACAGCTAAAGATGACTAAATAATGGCCCCGCCTTCAGACTAAAGGGAATAATGGCTGAGGAGAGGCTGGAGGGAGGTCAGTCGTATCATCTTACAAGATACTCAAGCACAGGTGAGCAGAAACGCTACAGGAACAGGAAGTTACAGAAGAAAGACTATTTTATATTTAGGCCTGTCATCAGTGGTGGAAGGTAATGAAGTACAAAAGTAAAAGTACAATCCAAATTTTAGGTATCTGTTCTTTATTTTTCCAGTGGATACTTTTTACTTTACTTTTCTTCAGTACATTTGAGAGCAGGTATCTGTACTTTCTACTCCACTACATTTTAAATCTGGACTGAAAAGTAAAAAGTACTTTTCTTTATCATTTGAGACCTGCTGAAATGGCTGAGAGTTAATTTAATTTTTAGCACATTTAATTTGAGTTTCCGTCTCAACTTTGAGCAAACCAGATACACGAAACCACAAAAACGTCTAGAAAAGAAATAAGAAATCAACAAAATTACTTAAAATCAGCTAAATTATTTTTCTAAATCACTACATTTCATCCTTTAATTGTTCTAAAAATCTCTAAAAGAGTATAAAGTAACAGTTTTTAAGTACATTTTTAAACAGGCACTTTAATATTTTACTTGAGTAGATTTTTTCATGTGAGACTTCTACTTTTACTTGAGTAACTTCTTGTCCCTATATCTGTACTTTCACTAACCAAATTGAGTACTTCATCTACCAAAAATTACTATATCACCTTCCACTGTTTCCAATTAATACCCCCATAAATGGATTTTCATCCCATAGTCTAAAAACGAACAAAACGTAACGTAAAAAACAAACGTAATGCTTATAATCGTGTTAACCTGAACATATTGCGGTAACCATTCATTTGATATTGTATTGTGCATGCAACCTTTTGGTTGGGGGTCCATCACCTGCTTGTTTCTATGGATATGTCATTCCTTTGCCTGGAATGTTCCACAGTATGACATTAAATAACTCAACCTTTTTTGTGATGTCATGTGGTAATTCAGGTAGTGCTCTCCTGTGTTTTTAAACTCCATACAATTTCAGCCTTGAAATCACCATTGAATAGGGATGTAACAATATCCAAATCTCTCTGTACAATATTTTCACAATATGTATCTCATGGTACAATATTTATTGCTATATTTTGTGGATACTAACAAAGCACTACTTTTTCTTCTTCAAATGCCTTGACAAGACTTAGCCTAAAAAACAAAGATTTAAAAGTGCTTAGAATTGTTATTTCTTCATGTAGTCTGCACTTAAATGGAGTAAGGGATCATGGTCTATGTAGTTCCGTCTGTATTTTTTAGGTATTGCTGTACCATAACTCTTAATCTAAGCAAAGAGACTTGTACTTTAGTATATTGTGATGGGCTACGATATCATCGTGAGACCTTTGACAATATAATATAAAGATATTTCGGTTATTGTTACATCCCTACTATTGAACAAAGGATAAAAGGAGCTGTTAACTGCTACATGACATCACAAGGTGGAACAGAGCATTTTGAGCTTTGAGATGTAGACAGACTAATAAAGCAGGATTACTCAAACATGTGTGAATGAAACAAAACACAGAACTCTGAGGATGTTTTTGAAGTGGCAGCAACATCCCAACATGACTTAAAGCTCACAAGAGTCAATTTCATGTAATATAGGACGTGCGTGATAAAAGGTAGTGACGCTACATTGCAGATTGGATGCAACGTCTTTTTATGGCTGTCATAAAATCTCAGTCATCTCCAAACATGAACCTTGGCACCATAAACCCACACGTCTAGAGAACATTGGACAGGAAGATAAAACAATTATGAAGTGCACCATATCTTTTAAATGCTTCACTTCCTCCTCTGAATTAAGGGTGGGGTAGTTAAGTCCTGTATCATTCTTAAAGCGCCTTCTGATCTATGTTATAATGTTGATTCCTCATTGCAAACATACCAGGAGTTGTGTTTTGTTTCATTCACACATGTTTCACACAAAAACCCTGCATATTTAGGCTAGAATTCTTCTCTCAAACAGAAAACAACTCACTAGAATCTCAATAATTGGAGGAACAAGGTGAAGCAGAGCATTTTGAGCTCCGGAGATGTAGACACACTAATAATAAAGGGTTACTCAAACATGTTAAATTAAACAAAACACAACTCAAGGTATGTTTTTGATGCGGTAACAAGGCTTCAAGCTCACAAGAGTCTATCACGCATAACATAGGACCTTTAATTACAGCAACAAATGAAATGAAATGCTTAATCTATTCCGCTCAGCTGCACTTTCATACCCAGAATACATTATGCCTAATTGCCTTTGTGAGGGTCTGAGTGTAATATGGGACAGGCAGGGGATGGGGTATGTTGGTGTGCAGTGCAGATGGCGTTCTGTTGTCCCTATGTTCTTTGGCTCAAGTTCCCAGCTATTTTAATTAACATTGTTTCATTTATTTGTTCTGTATACAGCAAATAACACCAAAATTAAAAATATAAAGTTAATATGAAGGAGTACATGACACTATAATAAGGTTTAAAATAACATTATGTAATACTGGACTAATATTAGATCATTATATGTTAGTCTAAAGGTTGGTTCATGTTTTATAACGGTCTTAAAGTTGTAGTATCACAATTTAAAAAAAAAAAATTTATTATGGGGTAGCCCGAGCAATGTTCAGGTTGCCGGGGCCTTTCAGTGCGCATCACCTGTTAGCTTCTTCGGATAATTTTAAAGATCGAAAAACTCTAGGATACAAAAATAATGATTTGATTAATAAATGTCTTACCTTGTGCCTAAATTCCCGGGCGACTTTTCGCTCCATGGTTTAATAAAAACAGCCAAAACAGCGATGTGAAAAGACAACGCCAGTGAAGTTTGACAGCACCGAACCGACGTCAAATAAACACGTGTGCACACTATATCCGGTTACTCCTTTCACAATAAGAGTAGATATGCCTTTAATTTGAAATGAAAGTGCCTATGACAGGTTGGATCACAAATTTTGATAAAACACAGCTAAGATGGTTGTATTTAGAATTTTACAAATATTTTGTTTTGTGTTTTTTCTGGTTTGGCAAATTTTTAGGTTTCAATTTTGACTTTCTGGTGGAAAATCATGACGCATTGAATCCCATATCTGTTACCTAGCAACCATGTGCACATAAATTATTATAAGACAAAAAATATATACTTTAACATTATTTTTAATCATGTTAAAGTATCAGGAAAAAGGTAAATTATGATTTTTTTTATTTTTTTTATTTATTTATTTAAAAATTATTATAATTATTATTATTATTATTTTTTTTTTTTTATGTTTTAGGACTCTCTACTTCCCGTAATTTTCAGCACATTTCTCAACTGTTCTTCACAAATTATTTTATAATTGGTTAAAACTATAATTTATATTTACAGCAGCTACTAACATTAACACCAAATTTAATTAAAATGAAAGAACTGCCCATAAACGCTTTAACTTAGTTTTAAAAATTATATTTATTTAAGGTTTCAATATAATAGAAACAACTTTAAGAGTGGATTAGATTTTAATCTACACCGAATAATATTATTAAAATCGTGAAAAATTTATTGTCTTTCCACCGAGCTGACCTGTAATTTGGCCTGTCTCACTTGTCTCCATGGAGATAGATATCTTTAATTCCACACTGTGAAACATTTCAGGAAAAGTAATAACATCTCCATGAAGACAACTCTCCTCCAGAAAAGTTACACAGTGCATCTTTAAAGCACTTTTCACTATGAATACAACGGTGTACCACTGGGGGCGCCATACTTCAATCATCAAGAGACTCAGTTTTCCACGAAATAGAAGAGGGGCGTAGGTTTCCGGGTTTTAAAATTGTGTGGTAAAGTAACTGCGTCTTTTCTATAAACAAACGCTGTATTTTTTCCTAAAAGGCGTAAGTGCACGATTTGTAATTTGCAAAACATTCTCATCATAAACAAAGGGGGACGCATCGTAGGGTGAGTATGAAATCTAAGAAAGTACCTAACTACGCATTTAGTTATTGTTTTGGTCGACTACTTGTGTTATCGTGCTTTTAATCAACAATATTTGTAGTACAGTCATGTTGTTTCGCTCTGTGTGTCTCTATGTACTACACAATTAACGCTAAATTAAGCTTCATCATGTAAACTTTCGCTCCTGACTCACATGGCAACACAAAACAATGATTAACACAACAGCCCACCCCATAAAACGAAGAAAAAAAACTGTTGATTTACAAGATTGTTGAATATACTGTGTTTAAACTGTATTTTTTTCTGTTTAAGATGGGATCTCCAACAAAAGAAGCATCACACAGGTAACCCACTTAATCCACAATACATAAATTTGATTGTTGTTTTTAGAGTGTTTTTGCAATGTTTGTTTGTTTAATTAATGTTTTAATGAATTAATTAATGAATATTTTCCTTCTTGTATCCGTACCTTTTCATTCATAATAGTTTTGCCTTGGTGTTTACTACTGATGAGTGATTTTGTAATGTTTATAATCAATAAATAAACCAAAGTGTTGTAAATATTAAAGCTTAAATGAATGACTGAAATGTGGATTGTGCTATAATTTGATGTGTAACTTTCTGGTTGGGGGTCCGTCACCTGCTTGTTTCTATGGAGATGTCATTGCTTTGTCTGGAATGTTCCACAGTATGACATTAAGCAGCTCTACTTTACATTTATTCAATTACAGGTGGTTTTATAGCTCAAAAGTACCCAGAAAAACAGGCATTCTAACTGTGAGCGGGGTTTCCTCTCCACAGATTTGACTTGTAACTTGGTTTAGTCTGGTCTCCATTGAGATAGAAAGGTTTAATGCCATACTGTGAAACATTCTAGACAAAGGAATAACACCTCTACAGGCAAACGTCCTCCACCAGAAAAGTTACACAATGCACCCTTAATTTAATTTTATTTAATTCTGTGTTTCTAAAAGGGGTCATGCGCACACACCTGGAAAAGCCCCAGAATCTCCTCTTCCCTCAGTCCATGAGCGCCTGGCGTACCTCCGTCCCTCCAGGGAGCTGCTGGAGTTTTACCGGCAGAAGATCGCACAGTTTGACTCTGAACACGAGGAGCTGCTGCAAATGCTGGAGAAATACAAAAGCATCGCAGACGACCAGGTGAGAGACAAAACAGTAAATCAGGGTGAGCAGATGTCCTTATCGACCCAGGACTGTCCCAGTTTTGAGCCCTGTGTCCCCTGTCCTTGTACATTTATCCAAAACCACTGATTTGTTCCAGGTTTATAAAGAAATGTCCGAGATGTCCCTATTTTTGACCAACTTGATACTGACAAACAGTAAAGAGAGGCATAAATAGTCACTTGTTTAGTCAAAATAGAGAAAAACAAGCTTAAACCAGAACACAAAGAAAAAGACTCTCAGATAATGTACTGGCTCACAATTAAGTCGTGAATGGACCCAGTGCATAACAACTTTCCTGATTTAGAGAAAAAGGGAGAGAGATACTTTAATTATCCCGAGAGAAATTCAAATTATAACACTCTTTTCACAATTTTTGTTTTTTATGATGATGATAAGTTTAGTCGGATGTTTCCATAAATAATAAATTGTATTATCATACAGTAAATGATAAATACAGATACATAAAGACAATTATTTTACATTGCTCATCACAAGTATAATCTCCAAAAAGAAAAAGAAAAGTCTATTATTCCGAAAAGGAGTGGGGAGAATCAATGCTTATATACCCCCACCCCCTTTTACAATCCCACTAAAGCAATAATGTGCTTCTGCCCGATTCTTATAGTACATCACATTACTCCAGATACAAAAATAAATATAGCATAGTTTACATTTTATTATTACAAAACATCCCAAACCAGGGTTGTCACAGTTTTTTTTTTAATATGGTCACTCTAAAGTAACTGTTTCAGAGACATTGATGCAGACACTTAATTGAGTTTAAAATCTTCTTTCAGCATAAACTACAGTGGGAAGTACGACAGCGAGAAGGGGAGATTTCTGAGCTGCAGAATGCTCTCAGTGACATGCAGGTTTACCTTTTCCAAGAGCGGGAACAGTCACTGCGGCTTTATGCAGAGAATGACAGACTCAAAATAAGGTAATTTTTGTTTTTATTCATTTTTTACTTCTACTGCAAATTTATATTCTATTAATTTATTTTTTATGTACAGAGAGTTGGAGGACAGAAAGAAAATCCATCACCTCCTCGCTCTGGTGGGTCCTGACGCCGGTGAAATCACATATTTCCACCGTGAGCCGCCCCATAAAGTAAGTGCCTTATATCTTTCATTATTCATTCATAGATATTTCAATTTATACAGTCTCAGAAGGTGTAAATTATTCATGTTTGTATCAGGTTGCTATCACACAGAAGATTCCAGAGTCCAACTTTGAAGAAAACCTGAGTCTCAGACCCCAAAAATTCAGGCCTGCTGTGAGCAAGAAAGGTTTGAGAATCTAGTCAAAATCATTAAAGGTCCTATATTATGCAAAACTAACTTAGGTTTGCTTTTAGCTATGTTATAATGCTGTTCCCTCTTCAAATATACATGGAGTTGTGTTTTGTTTCATTCACTCATATTTGGGTAATCCTTTATTATTTGTCTGTCTACATCTCTAAAGCTAAAAATGCTCAGTTCCACCTTTCTTCAAGCAGTAGTTTTCAAGTTAGCAGCTGCCTTTTTATCTTTAAGATCACTAAATATGATTAAAGATGAGCAATTTCAGGGCTGAAATTATCAAAATTATTCTACTGAAGGTGCATGGAGTTTAAAAACACAGTGGAGCACAGAGTTGAACAGAGATTTTTCTGTTTTAGAGAAAAACACAACTATCTGTCTACATCTCCCTATTATAACATCGTAATATTATAGGCTATTTAGACATATATTTTTTAATATATTTGGGTTTGTTTGTTCTTGAAAAGCTTTTGCCTGTTTGGAAGTTTTAACTGTGTTTTGTTTTTACAAGGAGAAAGTAGAAAGACCAAATCTGCAAACGGGGTTAAACATGAAACTCTGGAACAATACAAGAACGATAATGAGACGTTGTTACTACAGGTGAGATCAAACTTAAATAAAGATGCACTGTGTAGCTTTTCGGGTAGATCGTCCAACACTTCGACTCTATGTTGATGTTTTTGTTTTTTTTTCTGAAATTATCTACAGTATGGCAATTAATTTAAGGCATAGTAATAACATCATGGAGACCAGCAGAGAGCAGATAATCCACCAGAAATGTACACAGTGCATCTTTAAAGTTTAACATTATTGTGCTTTTGTATCTTAGTTTTCTTAGTTTTAAGTGTCTGTGTTCCAGGTGGAGGCGCTGCAGGCTCAGATGGAAGAACAGACTCGACTGTCCAAAGAGCAGGTGGAGACTTTGCTGGAGGACAGAAGGATAAAATCAGACGAGGCCCAGGCACAGATGCAAAGAGACCAGGAACGAATCGCTGCTTTAACTGAGAAGTAAGACTTGTATCCATATAGACCGGTCTGTCTCCATGTTTTATATAGATTTAAATAGTTAATAGTTAGTTATTTGAGGGTACAGCAGCTAATTTGCATACATGTAAGTGGTTAATTTGTTTTTTATTTGTATATATTCAGCCCTTATGTTTTCTACTTAATCTTATGCTGCTGCAATTAAATGTTTACTAACACTTCCCAATTAACAAACACCTTATTATCACTTAAGTTATGTTGGGACATTTTTGTACATGAATAAACGTTGATAAGTAGAAACAACATTTCTTGGCATACTGATCCTTAACAACATCCTTATTACCAAAACCCCATTAGGATCATATTCATGTATAAAATGTTCTCACAATTTCAGACTAATCAGCTGTAAAAACATGCACAAAAGGGCCAGGACTCCTCTGAAAAAGACATTCTTAATCTATGGGTAAATGAAGGTCAGTAAAATAGTTTACTAACAGGGAAGTCTTTGTAAATGTCTGACTAGCCGCAGAGTGAAACCATGGTAAAGGGCAAATAAATATAAATTAACCCATAATTAATCAAGTAAGAAAATATGAAGCAAGCTAGATGTTTGATATTCCCTTTAAATTATATTCTGAGTCTTATCTTTGTCTTATGTTATAACTGCACAGGTTACAACAAACCCAGAACCTGTTACACCACAGCACCAGAGATTTCCTTCAGTTAAAGTTTGACACTCGAGCTCTGGAGAAGAGTTGGATGGTTGAGAAGGACAAACTGCTGAGGGAGCTGGACTCTTGTCACAATCGTCTGAGAAAGACTGGTCCCTCTGGTCACTCTGCTGCCCCAGAGCTGAGCAGAGCGTGGCAGCCCACCAGCAGCTCCACTCTTCACACGCACCGACCCCAATATGTACCACAGCAAATTCCACAGCAAGCACATAAGGAGGAAGTGAAGGTACAGGTTTCAGATTCTACTGTTTTGTCAAAACGTTGTACTTTCATAAGAAGTATCCATAAGGTTAAAGGATTGGGCCTGGTTAGTACTTCGATGGGAGACCGTGGGGAACACCAGATGCCACAGGGGGGCGCCAGTGGAACAAAACTGTAAAACACCCACATTGGCCGGTGTGACGGTGCTGGTTGGAGCAAAATGGCAACTCGTGTCAGTTTGTGGAGTGAAAGAATAATGCAATAATTATGTAATAATAATGTGAGTGCCTTTTAAAGACGCTATATAAATCCAATTCATTATTCAATTCACAAAAGTTGAATTATTTAAAATGGCGACTAGACAAACAACCGCAAACATCTGCATTTTAACCATTATTAGTTTTAGCTGCTTCCATTTGCTGCCCACTGTTGATATTTAATATTTATTTACACTGTGTTGTGTGTCCGCAGGCATTACAGGAGGACTTAAAGCAGGCCCATCGTCTGGCAGAGATGTTTAGAGAACAGTGCGTTTCTCTGGAGACAGAACTCGCTCAAATCAGAGAGGAGGGCGACGTGGGCAGAGAAATATTCAAGGTATAAATTCTTGATTTGTCCCTGTTGTGTTAAAGAGCCCATATTACACTATTTTCTGCTCTGTTATAATGTTTCCTCATCACAAACAGACCTGGAGTTGTGTTTTGTTTCATTCACACATGTTTAGCACACAAACCTGCATATTTAGTCCGTCTCTCAAACTGAAAACACTGTGTTCCACCTTGTGATGTCATGTGGTAATATGGAAAGAGCTCCACTGTAGGGTAAAAGTAGCTGTTAACTTGAATTTTACAGCTTCAAGACATTACAAGGTGTAATAAAGGATGACTCAAATGTGTGTATGTTTTGTGAATGAAACAAAACACAACTCCAGGTCTGTTTTTGAGGAAGTAACAACATTATAACATAGTTTAAAGTTCACAAGAGTTAATTTGGTGTAATACAGGACCTTTAATAGAAACATATGTATTTAGGAGCGCTCTGATAAAATGGCAAAGCGTCTTCAGCTCATGACCCAGCGTTACGAGGCTCTGGAGAAGAGAAGAGCCATGGAGGTGGAAGGATTCAAAACAGATCTGAAGCATCTCAGACAGAAACTGAAAGATGTCGAAAAACAACTTCTCAAGGTTTGTAATATTGTTGTTATTATAAGAGCAGCACGATTTATGGAAGATTGTAATTTAACATTTCCGCTTTCCTCGTTTCCATTTTTGTATGTTTTAGGTCACTCTGAATGTTGGACCTAACCAGGATTTAGCGATTCTCCATGAAGTACGTCAGACCAACTCCAGAACAAAGAAGGTCCAGGGGGAGCTCATGACACTGAAGGCGAAGATCTACGGACTGGAAAACGAGCTGCGCTTTAGCTAGAGAATAATTTCCTTCTTGTATCCATACCTTTTCATTCATAATAGTTGTGCCTTGGTGTTTACTACTGATGAGTGATTTTGCAATGTTTTTAATCAATAAATAAACCAAAATGTTGTAAATATTAAAGCTTAAATCAATGACTGAAATGTGAATTGTGCTATAATTTGATTTGTAACTTTCTGGTTGTGGGTCTGTCACCTGCTTGTTTCTTTGGAGATGTCATTTCTCTGCTTGGAATGTTCCGCAGTATGACATAAAACAGCTCTACCTTACATTTATTCAATTACAGGTTGTTTTAGAACTCAAAAATACCTAGGAAATAAGGCATTCTAACTCTGAGCGGCGTTGCCTCTCCACAGATCTGACTTGTAACTTGGTCTGGTTTGGTCTCCATGAAGATAGAAAGACTTAATACCATACTGTGAAATATTCCAGACGAATCAAAAACATCTTTCTGGAGACATTTGACATCAGAACATCAGAAAAGTTACACAATGCACCTTTAAACTTGTAATTTATTGCCAGCACCATCACAACAGTGCGTTTTTATTAAATTATCACACAATATATATTTTTTGACATTATGAAAACATATTTAAAAAAATACCATAAATTTGAGTGTATAAAAGAATAAAAATGATGTTTATAGTGAGATTGTTACTGGAGATGAACACTAGAGGGCAGCATTATGGACTACAGCGTAGAGAAGAAGATCTACGCATGCGCAGTTGTTTGTGTACACACTGCCCTCTGCTCATTTGGACTTTTGATGAAAACCATTTGTACTACAGGGTTTTTTCTGTGTTTTTCTAGTCATTTAAACATGTCCTGCTTGATCTTTAGCTCTGCACTATAGCTAAGAATCCACCAGCTCAGATTAAGAGACTATTTTAGCTGTATCCCGTTTAATTTGACTAAACAAAACAAGAATGCAGAGACTAAAATTATGGAAAGGTGGTTGGCAGCTGCTGAAATCGACCTTTGAAAGAGGATCTGTACAAGTAAACACATCTGCTCCATCATCACGAGCATACAGCCAGGTAAGAGTTCATCTATATTTATAATTTTGACAGAATATTAAAGCTGGTGTGCAGATGGCATGTTTTAAAGGTCCATTATTACGCTTTAAATCATGTTATAATGTTGTTACTTCAATAAAACATACATGGACTGTTTTGTTTCATTCACACATGTTTTATAATCCTTTATTATTAGTCTGTCTATATCTCCAAAGCTCAAAATGTTCAGTTCCACCTTGTGATAGGGCTGCTCAATTATGGAAAAAAATCATTTTCACGATTATTTTGATCAATATTGAAATCACAATTATTTTTTAGTTACATGAAGCATTTATTCAGCAATTCTCTCAAAAAACAAACAAAAAAACCCCAACACTTTGTTATTGATAATTTATGCAAAACTTTCAAACTGAAAATAAATATAGGCTACAAATATGTACTTTAGAGCAGTTTTGCAATGTATAAAACAAACAAACAAAAAATAAATAAAATAGACTTTGAACATGAATTAAGGGATAGAAAATAAAAGTAAATGTAAATGTATCCAAAATAAACAATATATCCAGCTGTTCTACAATCTCTATCTTTTAAAAATACTATAAATATACTTGTTTATATTAAAAATATCCCAAAATAAACTTTGTTAAGCTTTATCATTTCAACTGGATTATTTTTTTTTGGAGATCGTTTGACGCACAAATCGAAATTGTGAACAAAATTCGATTAATTGCACAGCCTTACCTTGTGATGTCATGTAGCGGTAGTTTTAAGTGAACAGCTGCTTTTAACTTTAGTTCAGAAGAGATTTTAGATTAGAGTAGACAATTCCAGGGCTGAAATTATCCAAATGATTCTAGTGAAGCTGTGTGGAGTTTAGAAACAAAGTGAAGCGTTTCCTGTTTTACCGCATGACATCAAAAGGTGGAACAGAGTGTTTTCATCCTAAATATGCAGGGTTTGTCTGTTAAACATGTGTGAATGAAACAAAACACAACTCCAGTTCTGTTTGCGATGAGGAAACAACATGATCACAGACCAGAAAATAGCGTAATATGGGCCCTTTAACCCAGCTAGAGTTTTATTTACTTTTGGCAATATATGACCTGTAGTTAATGTGTAACTTAATCATATATTTCCACACTGTCTCTCTGCTTCTCCTCTCTCCTCAGGCCCCCAGTGGTTTTGGGCTCCTTTTTGATATTGATGGAGTGCTGGTTCGGGGCAGGACTCCAATTCCTGCTGCAAAACAATGCTTCAAGAAACTAGTGGATCACAACGGGAAATACAAGGTCCCTGTGGTGTTTGTTACGAATGCTGGAAATTGCATGAGGCAGACTAAAGCAGAGCATCTGTCTGAACTACTGGAGGCTGAGGTAAATCAGTGCTGTTCATCTGGTTATTATAATATATTAGACTTTAAAGGGACATATTATTACGCTGTTTTCTGATCTATGTTATAATGTTGTTTCCACATCATAAAAACACCTGGAGTTGTATTTTGTTTCATTCACACATTTTAACACACAAACTGTTGTGTATTAAACTGAGCTCTTCTCTCAAACAAGTGCTTCACTGTGTTTATAAACTCCATACAGCTTTACTAGAATCATTTGCATTATTTCAGCCTTGGAATTGCCAATCTCTACTGACATAAAAGTAAAATGTAGCTGTTAACTTTAAAACTACTGCTTCATGATATCACAAGGTTGAACAGAGCATTTTGAGCTTTGTTGCTGTAGACTAGGAGTCATTTAATGCGATGATACAGTATCAATATTGTGGGCTGCTGTACCAATATATTGCCAAGAGTATTTTTTGGTATATTTTACAAAATTATTTTCTGACAGCACTACAGTTTCGTTGCTTGTTTAGTGGAAGAAAACTCATTTATGTGACACATTTGACATTTTCACTGTTTTGATGATTAAAATATGCATGTTTCATATTAACTTTTGTATTTCTTATTGTATTTATGTACTTATTTTGGGCAAGTAGAGATTTACATTCTTACATAAAATGGAACACTAACCCTAACCCTAACCCTAACCCATATAAGTGAAATCATAATAGAAATTAAAATAACCAGAACAAAAAAATATGTCCAAAAAGGAGTGGGAAGAAGAAAATGTATGTAATCCCACCCCCACTCTTCTAATCTGACATAATGAGCTTTCTTTTGCATTTTTCAGATATTTTGCATTAAACTATATGAACTATTTACAAGTTATACAACAAAGAGTCACTGTTACAGTTTGGCAGTATAACAAAAGTCAACAAAGGTAAGGTTAAGGACACAGACTATGGTAACAGACAACAGATACAAGTAAAGTAATGGACAACACAAACCAGCAAAGGTGAGAAAACAACAAACATAAAGCAGCACTACAGCAGGAAGTATTGTTCTAATATTATGATCCACTCTCTATACACTGTGACCTTTGCACAAGTTGTGGTTTAACAAAGACTTTTAGTATCACAGCCATGATTAAGCCTTTACCTTTTATTGAACCTTATCAGATCGATTTGAAATATTTCATATTGAATCGAAAGCTCATTATATCAAAGTTTGTATCATATCGGCAACTTCTTAATGATACCCAGCCCTAATGTAGACAGACTAATAATAAAAGGTTACTGAAACATGTGTGAATGAAACAAAACACAACTCCAGGTCTGTGTTTGGGGCGGTAACAGCATTATGACATGACTCAAAGCTCACAAGAGTCAATTTTGCATAATATAGGACTTTTCAACATGTGTTTTTGGTTTCCTCAGGTTACCCCAGACCAGGTGATGCTTTCCCACAGTCCTTTGCGGATGTTCAGCCAGTTCCATAAGAAGTGTGTGCTTGTGTCTGGCCAAGGTCCGGTTGAAGAAGTGGCTCATAAGTATCCTACCTAAACCAAAATAACAATGCTGACCTTTAGTATTCACGTCATGTTTGGTTAGTGGCGTTTACACATTCTGTTATCAGTGGACTTATACTTTGTTCCATTCAATAGCCCTGTGTGTCTGCCATATATTTACTCTTGTTATAGTCTTTACTGCCACAATAATTACTATATCAACTTATTGTTCACTAGATAATAGATTAAACAATATTTTTAGGGGTCAGACTATATTGTAGATACTTTTCCTCTGTAGTAGCAGGGAATCTTTTGTTATTTTTCTATACTACTATCAGATTTGAGCTCTATTGGGTTGAATTAATAACTTCTATGACTCATTATAGAGACAAACTAACAAATTAATGGTTTCATTCTGCTTTTTATTCATTTTTTAATTTTAATTTTTGTTTTATTTAATGCCCACAACCAAATCCAAGGTATGAAGCACAAAGACAAATAGAAAACATAAAGAAATGCCTTACTTTAACAAAAGAAGGAGCCTTTTCAAGAGTTTACTAATTGGTACTTTCATTTTGCAAGAACGATACAAATTTGCACATTGAAGGGTGTGAAACATAATATTTACGCAGATACCTCTCTCTAGATTCAGAAACTTCACTATTCAAGCGTGTGAAGGATAAGTGAAATTCATTACAAACACCAACACCCATGCAAACGCAAATGTCTCTGAAATGTGTTATCACAGCGTCCTACAATTTTTGGCACTCTGTCATTTGCAGTTCTTGCTCTATTATCACAAATTTTATATTTTTCAAACTTAAAAATGGTCCTAAAGGTGCATTTTCTGGTGGAGCATCCATCAAATGCTTCAATTCCTTTGTCTGGAATGTTTCACAGTATGTGAGTCTTCTTGCCCCAAATTGCCCCAAATTTCTGTAAATGGGCTTGCTACTCATAGTAAAATTATAAACCTAGTTTTATTTATACTTTCTTCCTTAACTCAAACCACTTTTAGCCTGGGTTTTGAAGATGTAGTGACTATAGAGATGCTCCGAGAGGCATATCCACTGCTCGATGTTGTGGATCACGATAGACGTCCTAAAGATAAGGTAACAATTCTCTATTAAAGTGCCCATATTTTCTGATCTTGTGTTATAATGTTGTTTCCTCATAAAAAAACAAAAAAAAACAAACCCAGAGTTATATTTTGTTTCATTCACACATTTTTAACACACAAATCCTGCATATTTAGGCTGAGTTCTTCTCTCAAACAGAAAACATCTGTTCCACCTTGTGATGTCATGTGGTAATACAGGAAGTTCTCCACTGTGTTTCTAAACTCCATACACTTTCCCTAGAATCATTTGGATCATTTCAGTCCTAGAATTACCAATCTCTACTGAACAAAAGAGCTGTTAACTTGAACAGTAACATTGCATCACAAGGTGCAACAGAGCATAATTTGCTTTGGAAATGTAGACAGCAGCAGGCATGAAAATTCAACCGTTTTAAAGCCAAAACAGGTGACCTATGTGAATCGCGTGGATTCAGTTAGAAAAGTTTGGGAGGGGGATATTAAGTGTCAGCAAATATCCCGCCTATTCCACTGCCAAGAGCCAATCATCTGCCGAACTGTACGAGCGGCGTTCCAAGTAACCATGTTGCAGCTTTTGCTCCAATGTTCTTCTCGTGCTGTTAGTAAAGTACTGCACATGCACAGTGTCAAAATAACCCATGAGAAAAGTGGCTTTTGAAGCTTTATTTTTATACAAAGCCATTATAATCAAGTTTTCGTTGTGAAAAAAACAACAAAGCTGCTCTCAACTGCTCCTGTGTTGTTGTTTTTTTGTTCGTGCACCCTTCTCACCTTTTTCAAACCTGACCTGTTTTCATGCCTGAGACTAATAATAAAGTGTTACTCAAACGTGTGAATGAAACAAAGCACAACTCCAAGTATGTTTTTGTTGAGGTAACAATATTTTAACATGGTTAAAAGCTCACAATTTGTCTGTGTTGTATAATATAAGACAGTCTTTCTATTTTCTAGATACCACCCACCAAAGGGCTACGAAAAATAGATGGTACTTATTCTATACTGTTAAAGATGTTTCCATTTTTACAAACTAACTCCTCGTGTGTTTGATTCCATAGCTGTAATTTTGTTTGGTGAGCCAGTCAGATGGGAGACAAATCTTCAGCTGATTGTTGATGTTCTTCTGACCAGTGGGAGCCCTGACAACAACTGGGACTCAGTGCAATACCCCCACCTCCCTGTGCTCGCCTGTAACATGGACCTCTTATGGATGGCAGAGGCAAAGAATCCAAGGTAACGGTTTTAAAATCTAAAACAAATATTACCATTTTAAATCTCTATTGTGTGATTTATGTTTTATCCTTATCACAAACATACCTGGAGTTGTGTTTGGTTTCATTCATACATGTTTAACACACAAATCCTGCATATTTAGGCTGAGTTCTTCTCTCAGACGGAAATATAATAAAAGATTACTCAAAAACATGTGTGAATGAAACAAAACATAACTCTAGGTATGTTTTTGAGGAGGTAACAACATTATAACATGGCTTAAAGCAAAAATGTATTTAATATTGGACCTTTAAAATATGTTTTTGTTTCAGATTTGGGCATGGCATGTTCCTGGTGTGTTTGGAGAATTTGTATAAGAAAGTTACAGGACATGACCTGAAATATGAAGCCCTCATTGGCAAACCAAGTGTAGTGACCTACAACTACGCTGAGCTGCTGATTAAACAACAGGCTGAGAAACTCGGATGGACCACACCTGTCAAGAGGTTATACGCTATAGGGTACGTGTTCATTCAGATAACTTCATTTATCTTGTCTTGTTTTATGTTGCATCTATAGACTGTATAAAGAACTTCCATATTTCGAAGTTTGACCGCAAGTATCACCACAACCAAAGAGCAAGCAAGTGAGGCTGTTGACAGTAACGCCCCTTTCTGTCCACACCCTTGGTTTGGCAGGGAGTCAGCGCTTCTGTAAACCACTTTGTATTACTTTGAATTAGGGATGTGACAGTAACAGAAATATCGTGATATTGTATCATCAAAAGTCTCACAATAATACCGCTGTCTATCAAAATATATCAAATTACAAAATCCTTTGCTTAAATACATGGTTTTACAGTAGCAATAGCTTATATACATCAGGAACTACATATCCCATGATTCATTTCAGTGCAGACAACATTAAGTTATATGTTTTTACTTGAATTCTTGGGATTATAACGGTAATAATTCACAGCAAAATCTTATCAGGGTATTTTAAAAGCAAAAAAGCACCTCTCCAAAATATCACAATAAATATCGTACTGTGAGATGCATATCGTGATAATATTGTACCGAGAGATTTGGATATCGTTCAATTCCTACATCGTGTAGGACTTGTGCTACACAAATAAACTTGCCTGTCAGTCACTGCTGCTAATTCTAGCGGAGACGACCTCAGGGAAAGAAGGATTTGTCTGTTATTAATAATAATAATAATAATGCTCATATCATAATAACAAAATATAAACCTCAGGATCATGTAGAGCGGGTTAACGCGAATATTTTAAGACCAAAATGAGGAACCTGACAGCTGCAGTTACAGAGAGAGGGCTATGTTATTTCAATAAGAAGTGAATTGGAGCGAGGAGTCAGTGGAACAGCAACAAACAACAACAAACAGAAACAACAACAACAACAACTCTTTACTGATAAAGCACTTTTAAAAGCAAGGTTAACAAAGTGCTGTACAAGCAGAAATAAAAACCAAAAATTTTTAAAAAGCATTCAGAAAGCATACAAAATCAGACAATGAAGCAAAATAAATAAGTTAATAAAATAGACTAAAAATAAGAAATAAGGAATAAAATCAAGCCAAAACCAGTTAAAGGAAGGCCAACCTGATAAAAATGAGTCTTAATAAGTGATTTAAAAGATGATACTGATGGTGCGAGCCTTATCTCCTCAGGCAGGTCGTTACAAAGCTGAGGCGCCCGGACTGAAAAGGCTCCATCACCTTCGTCCGGAGCCTGGACTTTGGAACAACCACAGAGACCTTCCTGAGGATCTAAGGCCGTGGGAGACTCGTACGGGGTTAAAAGTTCTGAAATGTGAAATGTAACTTGGTGTATGACCTAAACGAGCTTTAAAAGTGATCAGTAAAATCTTAAAATCGATTCTAAAACTCACAGGCAGCCAGTGAAGGGAAGATAAAACAGGGGTAATGTGTTGATGTGCTCACTTCCTGTTTGGAACATGTTATCTATGTCCATTTATATACAGTCTATGATTTCATCGCTGTTTTTTTTTTTTTTTTTTTATTCACAGTGACAATCCAATGGCGGACATTTACGGTGCAAATCTCTACAATCGCTACCTCCAGACAGCTCATCGCACCAAAGTACAGCTGAAGGCCAAAGGAGGGACAGGGGCAGTGGAGGCACCTTCAGAGTCAGCGGTCTCCCACACGTCCTCCTCCTCCTCTTCCTCAGGTTTAGGGAGGTCTGCGGGTGACGCCGAGGATGAGCTTCCCGATGGCTGCAGCTCCATCTTGGTGTGTACTGGCGTGTACAGCAAAGAGCAGGAGGAGCTTCCATCAGACCCTTCTGAAACAGTGACAGAACAGAGGATCTTTCACGGCCACAGAGACTTCCGCTTCGACCCCAACCTTTTGCAGCCTTCTTTTGTGGTTGATGACGTGAAAGAGGCCGTGGAGCTCGTGTTTCAACAGGAAGGCTGGCCTCTAGAGTAGCATTTTTAGTCTAGTTAATTGCATTTTTAATCATAATTTTGTTGTTGTAGTATGACATTATAACGAGACAGTAGCTCAGTTTTTGTTAAGTGTTTAAGTGTATGAATGTGTGTGTGAATGGATGAGTATTTCCTTGATGCAATGCGCTTTGAGTGCTGAGAAAGTGGAAAAGCACAATAAATGTAAAATATATGTGACTGATTTATGATTTTTAAAGCCTGACTCCGTGACATTGTAGTCCACAGTGTATTTTATTTAGACAAACATATATTTATATAACATCACAAAACATGTCAATTGTACTTGTTACACAGATAAACCATCGTGTCTTATTTTGTGTGCCAAAAATAAGCTCGAATCTAATGCACCCCTCAAGTTTAATATCATAGCCATTGGTTGATCATTATGCTGTAGACTGAACAGGGTGTGACAGCTGCAAGACGCTGACCAAAGATTGCATTAAATATTGTGCTTTGTGGTGCTATTTTTACTGAAGAATTTACACTTAGGCAGTTACAGAATATTTGTGTTCCTATTTGTTTAGAATCAAAGTTAAAGGACATAGTTTACTCTGTTATAATGTTGTTTCCTCATAAAAACATACCCATGAGTTGTGTGTTGTTTCATTCACACGAGTTTAACACACAAACCCTGCATATTTAGGCTGAGTTCTCCTCCCAAATTGAAAACACTGTTCCACCTTGTGATGTCATGTCATAACACAGGAATTTCTCTTCTGCATTTTGAAATTCCATACACTAGGATCATTATGATAATTTCTGCCCTGGAATTGCTAATCTCTACTGAACGAAAGCTAAATGGTAACTGTTAACGTGAAAACAACCACTTCGTTCGTTCGTTCACAAGGTGGAACAGAGCATTTTAAGATTTAGAGATGTAGACAGACTAATAATAAAGAGTTACTCAAACATGTGAAAGACAAGTTAAAATACAGACAAGCTTACAGTTGCATTCATGTTGCTACAAGTGTACTCAATACTCAAAAGTCTGTAAACATGACCACATTTTATCTATCAGATAAAATGATAACCAGAAATCACCAAAAATGATCTATCTATCCTAAAAGGTTTGATTATATCACTGGGTTTCAGACAACATCACAACATTCTGTAGGACAATGTTATTTAATGCAAATGGATGCACCTAAAATTAATATTGTTAAAATGTAGATATCTGGTGTAATACGGTGAGTTCTCAAGTTTAGTCACTAAAAGAAATGTTAAGGTCCAACATTTGTGAATTTACCATTTGGATATTTAACAGTGAAGTATGATGCAATCAATAGAAAGGTAAAAATACCAGAAACATCGTGATATTATATGGTTAAAAGTCACTATAATAACGTGGACCATCACAATATATCAAAATTACAAGTTTCTTTGCTTAAATTTGTTGTTAAGGTTAAGAGAACTACATAGACCATGATCCTTTGCTGCGTTTCAGTGCAGACGACATGAAACATAAAAGTATTTAGCACTTTTAAATCATAATTAGTTGGATTATGACAAAATCAGGGTCTTGTCAAAGAATTTTAAGAGAAAAAAGTAACACAATTCTGTTCCACAAAATATGTCAATTAATATCATACCGTGAGATGTATATTGAGAAAATATCGTAGAAAGAGAAATATCGTTTGCTGGGTTTCAGATGACAAGACTCTATTCTATAGGACAATATCAAGTGTCCCTATTTTGGACCAATCTGATCCCTGGCTACACAAAAAAAGGGAATATTGTCATTTGTTTAACTAAAGTACAGAAAACCATGCTCGAAAATGACCATAAGGCAGAAAATGCACCAACAGAAGTCTCTCAGATGATGACAGCGATGGCTCTAGAGTGGTTTTGGTTTATATGTTGTAAAGTTGAGTTTATTTATGCACATTAGTAATAGTAATAATGATGATACTTATATAAAAATGTTAATGATAGTATGAAAATAATGTAATAATGAATTCAAATTAAAATACCTCAAGTTGAGGGCTATTCTCAGCAATTTTGTGATGAGATTAAAAAAGAGATTAATTAGATTAATTAATTACAGATCATAATTAATTAATCTCTCAATTTTTTTTATCGCTTGACAGCACAAATTAAATTATAAACATGCTTGGTTTTCTTCAATTAAAGGGCCCATATTACTGGTCAATAACACACAAGGAGATTATGTTGATCCCCATTAAATCTAAATTAACCATTTGCTCATATAAAAACACAAGTGCACAAATATATATTTTTTATTTATTTATTTTTTATTATTCTGTAAATCCCTGCAGGAAATCCATTGCAGTGAATTTTAAGAGTCATAATAATTTAATTGTTTGTTTGTTTTTTTATTTTATTATGCATGGAAGGGATGGACTCATAGGTTTTTGGATCAGCATCATGTAGTTGGTGTTTTTATATTACACTATTTTGATTTGGTAATTCACTTCAAAAAATCCTAAATTCTTTGCCGTGAATTTAAATAGTGCTTATTTTTGTTTGTTTGTTTGTTAATCCATCCTATCCTAAACATAATAAATTAGGGATCCAATTGTGTGTGTAAATTTAGGTGTTTGACAGGGGAGGGGGGTTGGGGGGTAAACTTAGGGGTGGGGCAAGGGGAGAGGGGGAGTCCAATAATTAAATTATTGGACTGGCCTAGACAACAGGTAGGCGCTGAGAGGACCATTGGGTATCATCATGGGTATCCTCATGATCTTACTCAGCCTTGAAAAGAAGCCTGACCGTCTGGTTTTAGAATTGGCCAAGAAACTGTTGAGTTGAACGGTGAGATGTCGTGTCACCGTGGCCTCAATGGAATAGCTGTTACTGTCTGAGAACAGTGAGGACGCAGAGCCAATCTCTTGCAGCAGGCTTTTAGCAGCTGCTTTACCAACAACTTTGAGATCTTTGGGTTTGAGCTCGATGTTGTCAGGGATCGAGACCTGGTTTTCCACTGTTCTCAGTTTTTGGACAAGTGCCTCCTGTTGGTCTCTGTCGGGGAACTGCTTAAGTTTTCGAACCAGTTTTTTCATCAAAGCTACGATCATGACATGTGTAGCTTCGGGGCAGTGGGTTTTTACAAATGATTCCACCGTCTCTGGTTCACTGGGGGTCTTGACTGGAGATGTGATAGACACCTCTGGTATCAGTATAGTGTCGTTGGTGGTTGTTGGTTCAATTTCCACTGGTTGAAACTCCTCTAGTGAGATCTCCGGGAATTGAGCTTTCTCCATTTGGATTTTCTCCAGCTTGACCTCCACAAATTGAACGTCAGGGAACTGGATTTCTTCTAGTGGGATTTTATCCACTTGGATCTTCTGCAGTTGGGTCTTCTCCAGTTGGGTCTTCTCCAGCTGGATTTCTGGGAGTAGCATCTCATCTAGTTGGACTGTAATACAACCCTCTATTTGATTGGCAGCATCGTCAGTGGTGCCCTGAGGAGTTAGCAAAGGTTCAGGGGAGGAGTCCAGAGGAACCATAAACTCCTCTGATGGTGGGATTAAGTCCTCTCCTGAATTTACAGACTCAGCAGAGAGGTCCTGTGGATCTGATTCAGTGATCGCTGCCTCCACTGGCTCTTCTGCTGAGCTGACAGTTGGACATTTGGTGTCCTCTACCTCATCCACTGCTTGAAGAAACCAACCCTTAACAGGGCTGATCACTTCTGAAGGAAGAGAGAACATTTCAGTTATACCGGCCACAGCTGTGTTCTCCTCTAGTGGAACAGGCTTCTCTGCTGGACTGTCAAGAACTGGCCTGGAAGCTGGGATTGGCTTGGGTTCCTGAACTGGCCTGGGTTCCCGGACTGGACTGGATCCACCATTGACAGGGCTGGATTCCTGGCCTGGTCTAGATCCCTGGACTGGGCTGAGTTCCTGGATTGGTCCAGATTTCTGGACTGGTCTAAGTTCCTGAGGTGATGTGGGTCCGGGTTCCTGGTTTGATCCTGGTTCCTTGGCTTGTAGTCTCAGGGCTCTTAAGGCCTCCTGATGTTTTAGCTTGTGTTCTTCCCACAGCTGGAAAACGTGGTCCTGGAACAGCCGAGCCTCGTGAGGCTCCATTTGAGGGTTATGAAGTAAAAAGAGCTCTTTGAACCCCATAATTTCCAGCATTTTTTCTGCCGCCAGGACCTTAGCCTTCTGCTTGCTGGGACCCTCAGCCTGGCAGGACATTTCGCCCACTCTCACCTCCACAGTGAACTGTTTCCTGTTACCGGGCAAGTTTCGAAAACCCACGACCTGAAACTCAGCCGCCTTTTGTTTTCTAATCGTCAGGACTTCTAAAAGGGCACTAACAGGGCTTTTTTTGTAGAAGAAATATGGACGCTCCAGTGGGTCCATCAGGTCAACGTGCGGTTTGCACCAATATGGAGTTGTGCCCTCCGGTAGTGGGAGCTTCTTCAGCTCCCCTATAACTTGTGAGGCTGCGTTTATTTTCGCCTGTTGTTTTGAGTGGCCAGAGCCGTAGCCAACGAAGTCTCCCACTCGCACTTCCATGTGGAAGGTGGGGTTATTGGCTGGGCCTTCTTCTCCCAGCACATCAAACTTCACATACAGATTGTGCACTATTGCCAGCTCGTGCAAAAGTGTCAAGTCTGTTTTGTAAATCTCCTCTGGTCGTTCCATCTTCTTGTGTAATTTCAATAAAGTTTGAAACTGTGTAATAGTCGTGAGATTATCTGTTTGTCTGTTAGTCACGTGTGTAGTGTCTCTCTGGCTCTGTCAGTAGCTGATCTCTTCTTTCTGATCTTGTGTCCACCTCAGTTGATGACGTCACAGAGCCGAGGTGCGCTTTAGAATGTTACGCATCAAAGATCTCCATAGCAACCATTCTTTACGCATGCGCACTAGTCCGAAAAAGAAATAGAATTGGAAAGACTTAATTTTGAAGCTAAAATATATTAAAACTGAAGGAATGGAGATATGAACGATGCTCAAATGGAGTTTTTCAGTGTAATGAGAAAAAGAACGATAAGTAGTTCGTGTCTATTGTTTTTGACATTTTCCTTGTGTAGCCGCAACTCAAATGACACGTCCCGCATTTTCTTAGAGGCGAAATTACTACATTTTCTACTCTACTAAACAACAGCTTTGTGCGTAGCTACTTGTGCTAATTTTTGGAAACAAAGCTGCGCATCTGATCAGAACCAGCGCAGCGAATCTTGTAACTGCGCTTTGTCACTTTTCCCTCTCACTTCTGCGCGATCTCATCAAACACAGCGAATGAACAAACAAACAAACAAACAAAGTTTCATCTTATTATTGCGTTGGTCAAAAAGACAAAACGCAGACTGACTTAAGTTTTGCTGTGCGTAAAAACTGTAGCCATCAAGTAAAGATAAATCCGCGCTGGCGTGGAGTGAGAGACAGGGGGATGAGAGCACCAGCGTTTTCTGTGCGTAAAAGCTGCACTGCCTCTCACATCAGCCAAACGTGCAAGATCATGATTTTAATGAAATAATGTCCATAAGCTTTTTGATGAGAGCAGCCTCCACAGACACGTGTGCGCAGGAGCATACGGCTGGTAAAAGTCTCAAGCAACACGCGACTATAATAATAATAATTAAAAATAATAATAATAATAATAATTTCACTTTTTAAACTGTATCAGACAGAGACAGGTGTTCTAACACAGATGTGTGAGTGCACGGGCTGAAACTTTTGACTAAACTGTTTCTTTAGACGTTCTTGGAGACAGAGTTAAAATAATGTTGACAGACATCTTGGTCTTGTTACTACAGCAGCTCAGCGCCACCTCTGGTTATTCACTTTGGTCGAACGGAACTGAGGATTTGACAAGTCTGGATTGCCCAAATAAACCAGGCTTTTGCTTTATCTCGCTTCATGGAACACCCCCACACCATGGAACAGACAAAACAACAACAAGGAGAGCAATAATAAAGGATAAGGAGACAGTGGACCCCTCCCACAAGGAAAGTTACATAGTACACCTTTAAATTATATTGTATTCAATCTAAACTGACCTCTCTTGTCAGAAACATCTCATCAAGAAACAGTGTTGGGAACTGAATAAATATACAGAAAATACTTATTTGGAGTAACTGTATTCTGGTACAGTTACTCTTTTATTACTTCTTTAAACAAATATAATATTTGGTCGTACTTCATCTGCAATTTTAGGTTTGAACTACAACAACCAAAATAAAGCAGTTTAATTATATGCCATGTTTTTTTTTTCAATACATGACAAAGGAGAAATTCTATTTGTCGACTGAACAAAAGTTTATTGGTCGAATAGGTTTCGCAGCTCATCCAAAGCTGCTTCTTCAGTTCTGTACTGAAGAACCAGCTTAAACTCTTGTCCATTCGACAAACTGAATTTCTATTTTGCCCTGGATTCTATCTGGACGAATGAGGGATTTTTCACACATTTTTTCAATACAATACAATTCGAACTAAAAATATTCCAAGTATTCACAATACAGTACCTCTGATTGGCCCATGTTACAGAACAATATATATTTTAATTTGGGGATTATGTATGAGTATTCTGTAACTAAATACATTTTGAAAGTATTCTTCTCATCTTTGGCAAGCAATAATATGTATTTATTTATACAGTTCAAAAGACCTTGAATAATGGCTTTACAATAATTCAGTTCCACAAAATATGGCAATAAATATCGTACCGTGAGATGTATATCGAGAAAATATTGTAGAGAGATTTTTATATCGTTTACTGAATTTCAGATGACAAGATTCTATTCTATAGGACAATATCAAGTAATACAGATGAGGGGCAGCTAAAATTAAAGGTGCACTATGTAACTTTTTGGTTGAGGGTCCGTCACCTGTTTGTTTCTATGGATATGTCATTGCTCTGCCTGAATGTTCCACAGTATGACATTAAACAGCTCTATCTTACACTTATTCAACTACAGGTGGTTTTAAAACTCAAAAATACCTAAGGCACTCAGGCATTTGATGAATCCTCCACCAGAAAAGTTACACAATGCACCTTTAATATAGTTAAAATGCAAAAATTAGTCTAGTCACTTATAGAAAAGATTCAGAGTCAACATTTGCGAATTAACTTTTTGGATATTTTCGTGGCAAAGTACAATGTTATCAACAGTGTTGGGAGTAACGCGTTATAAAAGTAACGAATTACAGTAATGCATTACTTTTTGCTGTAACGCAGTAATGTAAGGCATTACAGGGGAAAAAAATAGTAATATTTTACTCGGTACAAATGTGAGTAACGCGCGTTACAATGTTTTTTTTAACCTGGATTGAAGTGGTGGGTTTTTCTTCATACAAATTCGCTAAAATCACCTCGATATCAGCAGCGGTGAAACGCCGGAGATGCTCCCTCATAGACCTTCAGGTAAAAAGCGAAAGGACTGACAAAGAACTCCACGCTGTTTAGACCTGGTTTAGACCTGGGTCAGTTCTGGTTTAGACCTGGTTTACACTCGTCCCGCCCTCTATCGCAGTTCACTTTTCGCGGTCTCGCTGTTTCGCAGTTTTTTGGGGGTTTTTTTTGTGCAATTTTGCATGCCCTGTTTTTTTTTACATTGTATGAATGCGTATTGCGTTCCTCCCGCTGCGTCCTGACTGGCCAAGGGACTCCTGTCTCCTTTACAGTACAGTACAGAATGTGTTCAGCTGCCAAATTTAAATACATGTTCAGTCTCTAGCAGTGTGATTCTGAAGTGCTGTACGGTTGCAAGTTTTCTCCCTGACGAAACCCACAACGTCGACGAAACGTTCTGCACCGACAAAGGCTCCTGCGCTCGCACCCAAAAGGCAGAGGAAGATGCTAAACATCACACAAAAAGTTGGACTTCTGGACACGATGAAGGAAGGTAGAAGTTACGCGCTGTAACAGACTCTTGCACCGGCTCGGGTACCTGCAAATAGTTGCTGAAATCAGGGCCGCGAGCTCGAGCAGCAGGGTCCATAAAGAGCGATCGGGTGACAGCCGCTCTTACCTCCGTGAGGTGCGGAGCAGAGCCGCTCCTTTCTCCTGCGGTCACCTTCGAGCCCGTCCCTACAGTGAGTCCTGTTTTAGTCCTAGTTCAGTTCTAGTTTAGTCCTAGTTCACTTCTGGTTTAGTCCTGGTTCAGCTCTGGTTTAGTCCTGGTTTAGACCTGGTTTAGTCCTGATTCAGTCCATATACAGCGCAAAAGTTATTTTGGTGAGAGTAACTTAAAGTAATGCAATAGTAATGTAATGCCTTACATTTTAAATGCAGTAATATTGTAATGTAACAAATTACTTTGAAATGACAGTAATAGGTAATAAATAACGCATTACAGTTTCAAAGTAACTTGCCCAACAGTGGTTATCAAGAGGAAAAACTGTCCCTTGTCCCCCATTTGTGAGTATGAAACCATCACATTTTAAAGTACAATCTGAAAAACACCCATATGCAGGTCCAAGTACTTCCATCATAGCAATTAATTTATTTTCAGTGACACACCTCAGCATCTACAGTTCTTATCTGGAGCAAGTGTCCCGTGAATTGGATGAGAACTATTCAAAGTGAAGTGAGGCGCCTCCAGAGAGCTCTCGTCTATCACCATCATCCCGTTCCTCGCCATCAGCTCTCTGGCCATGAGAATAAAAGCTGCTTCAATGTTCTGTGCTTCTTTGGCGGACGTTTCTAGAGCAGCCAGAACCCCGTGCTTCTCTGCCAGTGTGCACGAGTCTTCGAATAAGACCTGTCTGTTGGCATGCAGGTCTGACTTGTTTCCTGTAATTAGAAAATACAAAAGAATATAAAATTGGTTAAAGGTCCTATAATACACAAAATGGATTCTTGTGAGCTTTAAGTCATGTTGTAATGTTGTTGTCTCATCAAAAACATGCATGGAGTTGTGTTTTGTTTCTTTCACATGTTTGAGTAACATTTTATTATTAGTCTGTCCACATCTCCAAACCTCAAAATGCTCTGTTCCACCTTGTGATGTCATGGAGAGGTAGTTGAAACAAAAACACAACTCCAGGTATGTTTTGTCGAGGAAATCCAAGTCTCATGATACGATATTGTCACGGTATGAACCTCACAGTATGATATTTATTGCGATATCGGGGGAAAGCTCAGGATATGGTGGGGAGGCTCACGATTAGGGATGTAAACAATATCCAAACCTCTTGGTACATTATTTCCACAAAAAACATCTCGCGGTACGATGTTTATTGCGATATTTTGTGAAGCTAACAAAACTACTTTTTCCTCTTAAAATGCCTTGACAAGACTTAATCCAAAGAACTAAGACTTAAAAGTGCTTAGAACTGTTATTTCTTCTTGTAGTCTGCACTGAAATGGAGCAAAGGTTCATGGTCTATGTAGTTCCATCTGTCTGTTTTAGCTATTGCTGCATCATAACTCTTAATTTCAGCAAAGAGACTTGTAATTTGATATATTGTGATGGTCCACGATATTATTGTGAGAACTTTGTTATAGTATCTCATATATATAGTGTAATATGGGCTTTTTAAGCCCTAAAAACAGTATCTTAACTTGTTTTATAAATAGTTACACACAGTCTTGGATGAAGTACTCAATTTTGTAAGTAAAAGTACAAATACAGGGGCAAAGGTTACTCAGTATCATGAAAAAAACTACTCAAGTAAAACTATTGAAGTATCTGTTTAAAAATGTACTTAAAGAGTAAAAAGTTAAAGTATTTAGCAGTAATTTTTTTTAGCTGTTTTTGTGCATTTGGTTTGTTAAATAAGTCTCAGACATTTCAGCAGGTCTCAAACCATAAAGAAAAGTACTTTTTACTTTTCAGTCCAGATCTAAATGCAGTGGAGTAGAAAGTACAGATACCTGCTCTCAAATGTAGTAAAGTAAAAGTAAAAAGTATCCACTGTAAAACGTACTTAAGTAAAGTGCAGCTATGTTACTTACTTTTACTTCCACCACAGGTTATACATACCTATAAGTATGAGTATTACACTGGCGGCTCCATACTGCTCCACTTCCCTGATCCAGTGAGAAACAGATTCAAATGTAGAGCGGCGTGTGATATCGTAGGCCACCATCGCCCCGTGAGCACTTCGGTAATAACTCTGAGTGATCGTCCGAAAACGCTCCTGACCCGCTGTGTCCCACACCTGCAGCTGAAATCAACAACAACAGGAACACTTAAACAGGCGTGAATAAAGTGTTTACAGTAGTGTGACCAGACGTCCCTAGTTTTGAGCTTTGTTTCCCAAGTACCCAGTTTATTTATCCAAAACCAGTGATTTGTCCCAGTTTTACACAAGAAATGTCCCAGGTGTCCCTATTTTGGACCAATTTGATCCCTGCCTCCACAAAGACAGGGAATATATTGTCATTTCTTAAACTAAAATACAGAAAATTGTGCTTGAAAATGACCATCAGGTAAAAAAAAAAAGCACCAACAGCAGTCCCTCAGATTATGACAGTGATGTGAAAAAAATGATGTATCTCTTGACGACAAATAATTAATCAATTTGCGAAGCCAGATGAGTTTTTGGAATACAGACAAAGGTTTATTGTTGTTACAGCAGATATGGACAGGGAACAGTTTCTCCCGAGTCTCCTTTCTCCAATCACCCCTTCTCTCCATCTCCTGAGTATTTATACAGACATACAAATTAAATACATATCAAAGCAGAGAGACTTGTGCTAATCAACTACATTTGAGGACACCTAAGACAACACAAAGTTTCTTGTGGGGTGGGGTCAGTTGTGTCTGCCAATGACTGGTCTGGTCTAAGTTAGAAATCACATTAATGTACACAAAGACAGATTGTGAGAAATCTTCTCCACAATATAAATTTACATCATAACGGACCCAAAAGTGAGTCGAAAATGGACAATTATACGTACTCTTTTCCCAATTTTATTCATACCAACCATCCCAGCCCGGGTGTGTCCCAGTTTTGAATATTGAAAACATGGTCATCGTAGTTTACAATCGATGTTTTTTATTGATACAGTGCACTTACATTGTGTTGCCGATGCTTTATACATTTGTATATGGCTTTTGAAATTCTAAACTGGGACACACCTGGGTTGGGATGGCTGGTATAAATAAAACTGTGATATGAGTGTGTAATTGTGCATTCAGACATAATCTGAGGGACTTCTGTTGCTGCATTTTTTTGCTTTATGGTCTTTAGCAAATATGGTTTTCTGTATTTCAGATAAACCAATGACAATTTATGCCCGTCTTTACAATTGGCGGGGATCAGATTAGTCCAAAATTGTGATAGTCCTGTTTCAGTTTTAGTTTAGTCCTGGTTTAGACAAAAATAGAGACACCTGGGACACTTTCTGTAAAAAAAACTTGGACAAATCCCTTTTTTTTTTTTTTTTTTAATAAATCTGCTGGGACAGGGGACACAGGGCTCCAAATTGGGACTATCCTGGGTGGCAGAATGTTCAGAAATTAACCCAAGGAATTTTGACATCAGCTGCAAACATCAGGAAGTGTTTTTTAGATTCCAAACTCACTCACGCACACTGAGATTAGACATTTAAACGATTAAATTATAAACATGCTTGGTTTTCTTCAATTAAAGGGCCCATATTACTGGTCAATAACACACAAAGAGATTATGTTGATCCCCATTAAATCTAACTTCTTAACCTTAACCTTAACCTTTTGCTCCTATAAAAACACAAGTACACAAATATATATTTTTTATTTATTTATTTTTATTATTTTGTAATTCACTGCAGGAAATCCATTACAGTGAAGAGTCATAATAATTTTATTGGTTATTTTTTTAAACTTTATTATGCATGGAAGGGATGGACTCATAGGTTTTTGGATCAGCATCGTGTAGTTGGTGTTTTTATATTACACTATTTTGATTTGGTAATTCACTTCAAAAAATCCTAAATTCTTTGCCGTGAATTTAAATAGTGCTTATTTTTTGTTTGTTTGTTTGTTAATCCATCCTATCCTAAACATAATAAATTAAGGATCCAATTGTGTGTGTAAATTTAGGTGTTTGACAGGGGAGGGGGGTTGGGGGGTAAACTTAGGGGTGGGGCAAGGGGAGAGGGGGAGTCCAATAATTAAATTATTGGACTGGCCTAGACAACAGGTAGGCGCTGAGAGGACCATTGGGTATCATCATGGGTATCCTCATGATCTTACTAAGCCTTGAAAAGAAGCCTGACCGTCTGGTTTTAGAATTGGCCAAGAAACTGTTGAGTTGAACGGTGAGATGTCGTGTCACCGTGGCCTCAATGGAATAGCTGTTACTGTCTGAGAACAGTGAGGACGCAGAGCCAATCTCTTGCAGCAGGCTTTTAGCAGCTGCTTTACCAACAACTTTGAGATCTTTGGGTTTGAGCTCGATGTTGTCAGCGATCGAGACCTGGTTTTCCACTGTTCTCAGTTTTTGGACAAGTGCCTCCTGTTGGTCTCTGTCGGGGAACTGCTTAAGTTTTCGAACCAGTTTTTTCATCAAAGCTACGATCATGACATGTGTAGCTTCGGGGCAGTGGGTTTTTACAAATGATTCCACCGTCTCTGGTTCACTGGGGGTCTTGACTGGAGATGTGATAGACACCTCTGGTATCAGTATAGTGTCGTTGGTGGTTGTTGGTTCAATTTCCACTGGTTGAAACTCCTCTAGTGAGATCTCCGGGAATTGAGCTTTCTCCATTTGGATTTTCTCCAGCTTGACCTCCACAAATTGAACGTCAGGGAACTGGATTTCTTCTAGTGGGATTTTATCCACTTGGATCTTCTCCAGTTGGGTCTTCTCCAGCTGGATTTCTGGGAGTAGCATCTCATCTAGTTGGACTGTAATACAACCCTCTATTTGATTGGCAGCATCGTCAGTGGTGCCCTGAGGAGTTAGCAAAGGTTCAGGGGAGGAGTCCAGAGGAACCATAAACTCCTCTGATGGTGGGATTAAGTCCTCTCCTGAATTTACAGACTCAGCAGAGAGGTCCTGTGGATCTGATTCAGTGATCGCTGCCTCCACTGGCTCTTCTGCTGAGCTGACAGTTGGACATTTGGTGTCCTCTACCTCATCCACTGCTTGAAGAAACCAACCCTTAACAGGGCTGATCACTTCTGAAGGAAGAGAGAACATTTCAGTTATACCGGCCACAGCTGTGTTCTCCTCTAGTGGAACAGGCTTCTCTGCTGGACTGTCAAGAACTGGCCTGGAAGCTAGGATTGGCTTGGGTTCCTGAACTGGCCTGGGTTCCCGGACTTGACTGGATCCACCATTGACAGGGCTGGATTCCTGGCCTGGTCTAGATCCCTGGACTGGGCTGAGTTCCTGGATTGGTCCAGATTTCTGGACTGGTCTAAGTTCCTGAGGTGATGTGGGTCCGGGTTCCTGGTTTGATCCTGGTTCCTTGACTTGTAGTCTCAGGGCTCTTAAGGCCTCCTGATGTTTTAGCTTGTGTTCTTCCCACAGCTGGAAAACGTGGTCCTGGAACAGCCGAGCCTCGTGAGGCTCCATTTGAGGGTTATGAAGTAAAAAGAGCTCTTTGAACCCCATAATTTCCAGCATTTTTTCTGCCGCCAGGACCTTAGCCTTCTGCTTGCTGGGACCCTCAGCCTGGCAGGACATTTCGCCCACTCTCACCTCCACAGTGAACTGTTTCCTGTTACCGGGCAAGTTTCGAAAACCCACGACCTGAAACTCAGCCGCCTTTTGTTTTCTAATCGTCAGGACTTCTAAAAGGGCACTAACAGGGCTTTTTTTGTAGAAGAAATATGGACGCTCCAGTGGGTCCATCAGGTCAACGTGCGGTTTGCACCAATATGGAGTTGTGCCCTCCGGTACTGGGAGCTTCTTCAGCTCCCCTATAACTTGTGAGGCTGCGTTTATTTTCGCCTGTTGTTTTGAGTGGCCAGAGCCGTAGCCAACGAAGTCTCCCACTCGCACTTCCATGTGGAAGGTGGGGTTATTGGCTGGGCCTTCTTCTCCCAGCACATCAAACTTCACATACAGATTGTGCACTAATGCCAGCTCGTGCAAAAGTGTCAAGTCTGTTTTGTAAATCTCCTCTGGTCGTTCCATCTTCTTGTGTAATTTCAATAAAGTTTGAAACTGTGTAATAGTCGTGAGATTATCTGTTTGTCTGTTAGTCACGTGTGTAGTGTCTCTCTGGCTCTGTCAGTAGCTGATCTCTTCTTTCTGATCTTGTGTCCAGTTTGAGTCACACTTATAACCTCAGTTGATGACGTCACAGAGCCGAGGTGCGCTTTAGAATGTTACACATCAAATTTCTACAATAGTTTCAAACAATACATTCTTTCAATTAAATTCTCCAAGAAACAGAAGGCACTCGAGACTGTGGAGATCTGTACAGCTCTGAATGTTTTCACTTGAACTTTGACCCCCCCTAGTGTGAATGTATAGCATTTCCCCCTTTCCTGTCCTCTTTTATTTCCCCCTCCTTTCTTTTTTGTTATTTTACTTTTTATTTGATTTGTTTGTACATGTTGTACGATGGAATTGTTTGGATGGTAATCACAGGTCTTTGCGCATTGCTGGATGTATACACTTTGTCTTTCAATAAAAAAAAATAAAAAAAAAATGTTACGCATCAAAGATCTCCATAGCAACCATTCTTTACGCATGCGCACTAGTCCGAAAAAGAAATAGAATTGGAAAGACTTAATTTTGAAGCTAAAATATATTAAAACTGAAGGAATGGAGATATGAACGATGCTCAAATGGAGTTTTTCAGTGTAATGAGAAAAAGAACGATAAGTAGTTCGTGTCTATTGTTTTTGACATTTTCCTTGTGTAGCCGCAACTCAAATGACACGTCCCGCATTTTCTTAGAGGCGAAATTACTACATTTTCTACTCTACTAAACAACAGCTTTGTGCGTAGCTACTTGTGCAAATTTTTGGAAACAAAGCTGCGCATCTGATCAGAACCAGCGCAGCGAATCTTGTAACTGCACTTTGTCACTTTTCCCTCTCACTTCTGCGCGATCTCATCAAACACAGCGAATGAACAAACAAACAAACAAAGTTTCATCTTATTATTGCGTTGGTCAAAAAGACAAAACGCAGACTGACTTAAGTTCTGCTGTGCGTAAAAACTGTAGCCATCAAGTAAAGATAAATCCGCGCTGGCGTGGAGTGAGAGACAGGGGGATGAGAGCACCAGCGTTTTCTGTGCGTAAAAGCTGCACTGCCTCTCACATCAGCCAAACGTGCAAGATCATGATTTTAATGAAATAATGTCCATAAGCTTTTTGATGAGAGCAGCCTCCACAGACACGTGTGCGCAGGAGCATACGGCTTGTAAAAGTCTCAAGCAACACGCGACTATAATAATAATTTTTAAAAAGTCACTTCACTTTTTAAATTGTATCAGACAGAGACAGTTGTTCTAACACAGATGTGTGCTGCACGGGCTGAAACTTTTGACTAAACTGTTTCTTTAGTTGTTCTTGGAGACAGAGTTAAAATAATGTTGACAGACATCCAGGTCTTGTTACGACAGCAGCTCAGCGCCACCTCTGGTTATTCACTTTGGTCGAACGGAACTGAGGATTTGACAAGTCTGGATTGCCCAATAAACTAGGTTTTCGCTTTATCTCGCTTCATGGAACATCCTCACACCGTGCACAGGCAAAACAACAAGGAGAACTTTAAATTATATTGTATTGAATCTAAGCTGACCTCTCTTGTCAGAAACATTTCATCAAGAAACAGTGTTGGGAACTGAATAAATATATAGAAAATATTTATTTGGAGTAACTGTATTCTGGTACAGTTACTCTTTTATTACTTCTTTAAACAAATATAATATTTGGTCGTAGTTCATCTGCAATTTTGGCTTTGAACTACAACAACCAAAATAAAGCTGTTTGTAATTATATGTCATGTTTTTTTTTCAATACATGGCAAAGGAGAAATTCAAAAGTTTATTGGTTGAATGCGTTTCGCAGCTCATCCAAGCTGCTTCTTCAGTTCTATACTGAAGAACCAGCTTGGACTCTTATCCATTCGACAAACTGAATTTCTCCTTTCCCCTGGATTCTACCTGGATGATTGAGGGATTTTTCACAGTTTTTTTCAGTACAATACAATTTGATCTAAAAAATATTCCAAGTATTCAGAATACTTTACTCTGATTGGCCCATGTTACAGAACACCTTACAACATACATTTTAATTTGGGTATTGAGTATTCTGTAACTAAATACATTTTGAAAGTATTCTTCTCTGGCAAGCAATAATATGTATTTATTTATACAGTTCAAAAGACCTCGAATGATTGCTTCACAAATAAACCAAAAGCAGCCTGTACCTTGACTTTCTTTCCATCGATGTCCAGTGTCCGAACAGTGAAATCCACTCCAATAGTATTTTGTTGTTTCTCGATAAAAATCCCAGACTTGAACCTTTGCACCACACAGGTTTTTCCAACATTTGAATCTCCGACCAGGATGATTTTAAAGAGGAAGTCAAAAGAGTCCTCCAGCTCCAGCTCAGCAGACTGCATGGTGAAGGAGAAAATGTTCAACAAAAAACAAACTTAAACAGAGCTGCATTGTCCTGAGCTGTCATATCCTTCAAATCAACATTAAAATTAATTCTCCTCAAGGTATTCATGTTACTACCAAATATCAGGTATTCATAGTCACTGAAAAGTAAATAACAATCCAAAAGTATCCTAAAGTATCTATCAAAGTTCTACTAAATTACCCCATATCAAAATATAATGATTCAGTGACAGACTTGCCACTCTATTCAGCTTAAAGCACTTGTTTGTATTTCTGAGGTAAGTGCTGTGGTTCTAACCTTTAGACTCTTGGCATTGGCTGCCCTCTATGGCCGTGACTCATTTCTGTTTCCTTGCTTCCTTCTCCTTGATTCCTCTCCTCGATCCTTCATTTTTCAGCTGTCAATCAAATGCGCCATGTTAAGTGGAAGGAGGGAAATCACGGAGGAGACACGAGAGAGGGTTTCAGGAGGCAAACGTCAGATCAGATAATAAAACTGTATTTGTCTCACAGTACGGAGTTTGAGCTGTTGTGAGGGAGGTTTGAAATGTAAAATAATCCTGAATTTGACTTTAAGACTTATAAAACAAAAACATATTCAAACATGTTTATGAAAAAGAAGATGTTGGTTTGACTTTGATTTAAAATTCCCAGATTAAATATATAAAATAATCCTTTGTATTATAGTGTTCTATAGTAGTATAGTAGTTTCTCTACTCTGCTCCTCACTCCTCTGTTTTCTCTCTCCTTTACTCCTGTTCTCATCTTACTCTCTACTTCTCTCTCTCTCCTTTGCTCCTCCCTCCTCTGCTCCTTTCCTTCTCCTTCCTTTACTCCTCTCTCCTCCTTCTGCTCCTCTCTCTCTCCTCTTTCTTCTGCTTCTCTCTGTTCTGCTCCTCTCTCCCCCCTTTGCTGTTCTCTTTCCTCTGCTCCTTTCTTCTACTCCTCTCTCTTCTGCTCCTCTCTTCTACTCCTTTCTCTTATCTCTCTTCTGCTCCTCTCTCTTTTCCTCCTCCTCTCTCCTATTCCTCTCTTCTGCTTCTCTCTCCCTCCTCTGCTCCTCTCTCCTTTCCACTTCTCTCTCTTCTACTCCTCACTCTTCTGCTCCTCTCTCCCTCCTTTGCTTCTGTCTTTCCTCTGCTCCTCTCTCTGGTTTGCTTGTTTCTCTTCTACTACTCTCTCCTTCTCCTCTCTAATCTGCTCCTGTCTCTTCTTCTCCTCTCTCTTCTGTTCCTTTCTCCTCTGCTCCTCTCTCTTCGGCACCTCCTCTGTGCGCCGGAGCTTCATCAGTCATTTCCTTTAGAATCAAGAAAAGGAATCAAGTAGAAGTAATCGAGGAAAGAGAAATAGGACGCGGCCCATGTCTGTCCAATTCAGTTTCATTCTGAGAAGCAGAGACACGCCTCCTACCTGTCTGTGCGTCCTCCAGCCACCTCCCATGCGGCACCACTGCATCTTGGGAACTAATATTCACACATATACTTGGAAACCTGGAAAAGAAAACAAAATCAATAGCCAGAAAATCACAGGAATATATTAGACACTGTGGAGGAGTTACTGTGGCTATGTGACTACTTTATGTTAAAAATAGCCCAGAACAGCAAGGCTTGTTTTGAGCAAATCTCTTCAAGCAACCACCCAGTTTTACAGCTCATAAGAATAAACACCAGATCAATTGCACTTTGGACTACACTGATATGTGGACTTATTTCTTAATTCTTTGACCTTCAACATTTTTTAAAAGGCCTGTTACGCTATTTTCTGACCTATATTATAAAGTTTCCTCATCACAAACAGACACGGAGTTGTGTTTTGCTTCATTCACACATTTAACACACAAACCCTGCATATTTAGACTGAGTTCTTCTCTCAAACAAACAGAAAACGCTCTGCTCCACCTTGTGATGTCATGTGGTAATATACAGGAAGTGCTCCACTGTGTTTTTAAACTCCACACACCTTCACTAGAGTCGCTTTTAGTCAATTATTTCAGCCCTGGAATTGCCGATCTCTACAGAACAAAAGGTAAAACGTAGATGCTACTTAAAAACATGACATGATTAGGTGGAGCAGAGCATTTTGAGCTTTGGAGATGTAGACAGACTAATAATAAAGGGTTATTCAAACATGTGAATGAAACAAAACACAACTCCGGGTATGTCTTAAAGCTCACAAGAGTCAGTTTTGCATGACATAGAACCTTTAAAAGCAGAATCCAGAGTAATCCTTTATGCATGACAAACACACATAAGATACTGCACAATAATCATCAACTCAAGTATCAGAATTTGAAGTAAACAAGTAAATAATGTACCTCAGTCTTCACATTCACAGAGCAGAGTGAGATGTAGCATAGCAGTGGGTTTTGCGAATGTGCATTGGCCGCATGTGTTCTATCTCTCCGCCCCCACTCGTGCTTGGCGTCATCTCAGCCCACTGAAGACAGAGACACAGCTGGACTCTACACAATGAGCGAGTGTGACAGTGCAAAACCAGACCACACACTCCGGTCTATCTTTGGCTGTGACCACCAACCACCGTCTGTTGTGTGCTTGTGAGCCAGCCTTGTGGTTACTTATAACATAAAGGGACATCTGGTTTTAATGACTAATATGAAAGAAATATAATACATTTCAAATATAGCAACAATAATCATGCATTTATTCATTACGGGTGTTTCTATTGCTCAAAAATAGAATAATTCCTCCTGTGAATAGGGTTGCTAATAGTTGTTTTCCTTGACATACTGTAGATGGGTTTAATCTCTACTGTGGAACATTCTAGACAAAGCAATAACATCCTCATGAAGACAAGCACCCTCTATTAGAAAAGTTTCACACTGTACCTTTTATAAACCATGAATCTTAAGTTTGAGTCTCTAAATTTTTACTTGATTTCTTTAATTATAGCTATAAAAATTATTTAAAGATGCACTCTATTACTTTTCTGGTGGAGAGGCCGCCACCGACTTTTTGCCTGTTTTGCCTTGATTATTCTACAGTATGGAAATAAACTTGGTATTCACAATGGAGACAGGTTAATACTCACATCTATGGAAAAATGAGCCTGCATATGGTAAGAATTCATGTTTTTTTTTGTTTTTTTTAGGTATTTTTAAGTTATTAAATATCTGTAATTCAACAAATGCAAGGGAGATATGTTTAATGCCCTACAGCCGAGCATTCCAGTCAAAAAATAAAATACGGTAACATCTCCATGGAGGCAAGCAAGTAGCAGACTCTCTACATTAGAAGTTACAAAGCGCACCTTAAGTATAAAATTTTGTACCAATCTCAAAATAAGTGTTTAAGATTGCAGATACATACACTATAACAGAAGTGGGCAAGAAAAATAGAGAATATTGTGGAGGGCCAAGCCAAAATGCTTAACTCAGTTCTGCATAATATTAATTGTATTTCTTTATAAAAAGCAGTAAATATCATTGGTTTGACAAGCTGGTAAGAGGGGAGAGTGTATGTTATAACAGGAGTCTCCAACCTTTTTCCTCTGGGAGCAACTTTTACAAAACAAAAGTGCCAGAGAGCTACTAGTTTTAGTGGTCACAAGAAATTGAGTGAATGCAAGAGCCACAGCGAGCCTTATCCGAATCCAAGGTTATTTTGCATAAATTAAAAAAACAAAAGGACAGTTTAGTGCTCTGCCACACTCACAAACACTCACTCGAAACTCCTGTTATGACTAAGCAATAAAAAAAAGTGAGGTTGCCTTACAAAAAATGTAATTAAAAACACCTCTAAAATAAACGCAATGCAGTTTAGTCCATGCATGAGGTAAAATTATAAAATATGTTTATTGTGTAATTCCAAATGATCTTAAATGGGCAGGTCAGAGTCACCCAAAGGGCCCGGGAGCTGCACAATGCCCAGGTCTGCACTATAAGGAAACCAGGTATTATTAACAGCAAGGTTCCATATTTTATTTATTACTAACCCCAACACTAAAATTGTGAGCGAGTGTGAAGGAAACTAGGCCAGACTTGATATAAAACTAATAAAAACTGTAGAAAAGTCATATTACGAAAAAACAGACAATACTGAGTGACTTTTATAAAACAAAAGCAACAAGTTCTGAATCCAATGAGCAGCCAGCAGGTCATCTCCTCTCCTGTGACCGAGCAGCAGAAAACTAATTTCGCTGTCTTGAATTCAAACTGAGGCTGCGTTGTCCTTTTGGTTGTCTCTGTGCTTTTCTGACAGTTGTCTTGGCAACAGTTTCAGGAGGGATGTGAATGGGCTTCCAAGGAATGGGGTTGTAGAAGCTCGGTGATGGGTAAGCTTTTCCGTATGGACCTGGAGCAAAAATATTCACAAATATCACATAAATCTATGTATTACTGTTACTGATGTGATGGTTAAAGGTGCACTGTGCAACATTTTATTTGTTTCTATGGAGTTATTGCTTTGGAATGTTCCACAGTATGACATTAAAAAGCTCTACCTTACATTTACTCAATTACAGGTGGTTTAATAGCTCCAAAATACCTAGAAAAACAGACATTCTGACTGTGAGCAGGGTCGCCTCTCCACAGATCTGACCTGTAACTTGATCTCCATGATGATAGAAAAAATACCATACAGTGAAACATCTCCATACAGAAAAGTATTTGATGGACCCTTCACCAGAAAAGTTGATATATTTGATTTAATTTGATTTTATTCTGACATATTAGATGCCGCCACCACCAGTCCTGTCACAATAACAGATTTCAGAGCACAATATATTGAGAAATATTGAGATAAACGATAGTATTGAAACAACTTCATGCCAATGATTAAAAAAAACAATAACACAAGATAATCCAGGTAAGCCACTGTTAAATAAACAGTATCATTAAAAGGCCTAAACTACAACAAATGAATAACAGAATAAACTAATAATTAGCCATTCAAGTGACTTATTCAACCCTCTACCGCTCAAATCTTATTACAACTAAACTCTCACCACTGTTGCAAATACATTCTCCCAAAATGTATTGTTCCAGCTTTCATATTTTGATCACCAAGTCTATTTTATTATTCATTTAGTGTAGTCATGAGGGACAGTGCACAACATACATTAACCTTAACAGGAGAGATGCATTGTGCCAGGTTGAAGCACTAGATACACTAATTTCCACCTGTAGTCCCTGGGGCATGTTTTTAGGTTTGATGGGGGATACTGGAGTGCCCGGAAGAAACCCACCCAGACACAGGGAGAACATGCAAACTCCACACAGAAAGGCTCGGACGTCCGGTAAATATTAAAGGAAATACTCACCTTGACAAGTGGATTTGGGGTTGACTGTGTTTTTTGCATTGGCCTGACTGAGCCATTCCTTAAACTTCTCTTCTGCCCTCCTGCGTCGTTCCTTCTCTTGCTCCTCTTTTAGTGCAGCTTCCTCCTATCCACCACAGAAATATTAATGACATTATTATTAATTGGGATGTAGTGATATCCAAATCTCTCAGTACAATACTACCACAATATCAGGGATGGACTGGGGCCAAAACACAGTCCTGAACCTTTCCAGCACATAAAGGCCTACAATGATATTCATCTCACTGTGCAATATTTTTTTAGGTATTTTAGAGAGGATAACAGAATTGTAGATGTGCTACTTTTTGCTTTTAAATATGCCTTCAGAACTTTGGTATACATCACAGTCATATTCCAAAGCAGTGAGATTTAAAAGTGCTTATTTACATGTTTTCTGCACTGAAACAGGGCAAAAAATCATGGTCTATGTAGTTCCTTCTGTTTTTAGCTGTTACCGAAACAAAACAATACTTGTAAGCAAAGGCACTTGTTTTTCGATATTGAGATAGCCCCTGATAACATTTTAACGATACAATTTCAGTTATTTTCACATCTCTAATTATTAAGTGCAGATTTTTTGTTGAATTAAGTGATAAATATACCATTACCTTCTGTTTCTTTTCTTTCTCTGCTTTCTCTTGATTTTTCTTGTGAAGCCATTCTTTATACTTTTCTTGTGCTTTGAGCTCAGTCTCCCTCTGCTTTTGCATTTGCATCTGCAGGGCTTCTTGTTCTTTGCTTTGTTTTAGATCTTGTTCATGTTTCTCCTACAACACAACAAAGTTTAACACAATCAGAAACCACTATGACCCTGTTACACTAATGTCCACAAATAGTAATTAACCTGTTCTCTTTTCATTTTTAGCCAGTCCTGGATCCTTTGATTGATCACAGCAGCCTTCTGCTCATGGTCCATTTCTTGTTGTTTTTTCTTTTCTTGAAGTAATCGCTCCTAAATGATAACCATCTCAGTCAGGTATATTACATTTTTACATTAGGAAGACAGTTTACTAAATAGAACATATCAGTGTGTCAGTCTTGCCTCCTCTGCCTTCTTTTCCAATTTGATCCTGTCTTCTTTGGCCTTATTTAGAAGCCACAATTCCCAGGCACTCAGTGAAGCTGGAGTTTTCTCTGGCACTGTAGAGCTCAGCATCTGATCTGAGGGTGTCTTAGGCAGCTCACACCTACAAAATATAACGATTACTACTTTAGTTCAGGCAAATATACCGTTGTATTCACATATCTAACCAGCTCACCTGTCTGAAAATACTGAGGTGTTCACTGTCCCCTTTGGCGGAGACTGTCCACTTGATTGACTCATGTTTTCTGCGCTGTCAAAACTATCGTGATAGATGGGAGACAAGAGGGAGAACGTGTCTTCATCATCAGAACGGACCCCGACATCCAGATCCAAAGAAGCGGGTTTATGAAAGTCTTTTTCTCGATTCCTCGACTTCTTCACTGGAGTAGAGCTGAAGCCGTTTAATGCGAAACTGGACATTGTCCCTTTGAAGAGCGGATGATTGAAAATGTAATACAGACAAAGGTTTGCCACTTTAAATCTTTTAACTACTTAATAAATCTCCTAACTCGCACACTTTAACAGCTAGCTAGCACGGGGGCTAATGCTATGAGCTAATGCCATAGAAATCAATGCGCTAATGCTAACAACAAACTTAGCCAACTAGATGCTAGCACGTTACACAAGCTGTAGTGGGTTAGGCAAAAAAAATCTGCCTATTTAATAACGAAACAAACTATTGCCGTTTACATGTAACTTGTTATGATTCTTACCTTACGCTTGACTTGGATATAACGTGAAGTAAAAGACCTGAAGTCACTGATAAAAAAAAAAAAAACAAACACAAAAAACTTTCCCAAACACGCCACGCCCCCACGCACAGAGGACGCTGTTGCTATGACGCTGACTCGTTAGTAACCATAGTAACCACAGAGCGTATATGAGTGTATTTATGCTTATACAGTCTATGTTCGCAACCATAGAGTGTGTAATATTCATGCACCATAGAAATCATACCAACATCATCCGGTGGGGCTGTTTATTTACAGAGATAGATAATAAGTCGCTGTTACCCGGTGAATTGTGGATGTTGTTTCGTTTTTGGTATGAAATGTCTGACCCAGTTCAAACCAGTTTGTACACAGTCACAGTCACACTCACTTAACATAGTGACTCTAATAACAGGCCAGGCCAAAGCAGAGACACGGGGCGCCTATTTTTACACTTTAGCGAGGCATTTGGTAAGTGTTATCTGAACGGGCTTATGTCCACGTTTTATTGTTTCCAAATGATTTATTTAACCGCAGAATGCTTGAAAGTATAAATTAATTTTGAAAATGTATATAGGTATCTAGACCTAGCCTACATATAAAATATATAGCATCACAAGGGCATGTGCTCTTGGTACACAACATGTCAATCAACCACCCGTTTTAATGGAGTGATTCTACAAGATGTGTCATCTCTGTGAAATCTGTCCTGTGTTCTGAGCAACAAGCACAAAGCTAGAGTGCAGCACGTGCACATGTGGGCGTGCCTGATCCTCTGTGGCTCCAGTGAAGGAAGTTTGCACTGAGGTGTGGGATGCTCACATGGCCCTGCAGTTAGAGCCCGATGAGCACAAGAGACGAACACCGAACTTATTTGGGCTGACGGGGCCAACGAGCAAGTGGAGCTGGAGGTACTATGGCAAAAGACCACCAGAGACTGTCTGAGAGCAAACAACTACTGCACCAGCTCAAGGAACCACAAACAGAACACAGAACATCACGGAAGTCCAGGAAGAAACTTCAAGTTATCATTTGTGCGCTGCTCGTAGAGTTGTGTGAAAGATTCACTTTCTTTGGGATTGTATGCAACATGATCCTGTTCTGCACTGTGAAGTTAGGATATGACAACTACCTGGCTGCGTTCATCAATCTGATGTTTGTAGGAGCCAGCACACTGACCCCGGTGCTTGTGGGATGGTTTGCTGAAACATACTTAGGAAGGACAAAAGTCCTCTACCTGTGTGCGTTCCTTCATTTCTTTGGTAAGTCTCGTGTTTAGATTATCTTTGTTTTTAGTCCAAGTGTAAATGTAAAATGTATACAAATACAAACTCTCACCATAATAATCCTATTCTCAAAGGCACAGCCATGCTTCCTGTGGTGGCATTTCCATTTGAAGATTTCTACATAGACAATCATCACATCACGCACCAGCTGGAGCCTCGAGAGCAGCAGATTCTCTTTTACACTGGTCTGCTGGCGGCAGCGTTGGGCATTGGTGGCATCAGAGCTATACTCTGTCCTATGGGAGCCTACAGCCTCCAGGGGTACAACCAGCACCAGCTTTTGTCTTTCTTCAACTGGTACCTTCTCCCATTAAAACAATTTAAGTTATTAGACATTTTGCAGTTATTTAAAGAATTTGTTAGAGTGAGCAATGTTTGTGTTTTGTTGTTCTGTACAGGTTCTACTGGCTGGTCAATCTGAACTCCACTGTAGTGTTCCTTGGCATAGCTTATATTCAACAATCTGTGGCTAAAAATCTTGGATTTCTTATCCCATTCACTTCTGTGTTACTTGCTCTCATGGCAATAAACATGGTGCGCAACAAATTTACCTACAAGCCAAAGAAAGGTATAATTTACACAAATGTTCTGCTGTTCAAACACATATCTGTAACCTTGTGCTGTTTAACACAGGTACATCTCTGCTCACGACTCTGGGAGTGTTCATTAACTCCTTCAGGATGTGCTGCCTCCACTATCGCCACATCAGCGGAGAAGTCACATCTTGGCTTGACCGGGCCAAAGAGAACAATGGAGGTCGATACAGCGAGACTCATGTGGAGAATGTCAAAGTCCTTGCACGGCTTTTTCCCCTCTATGGTCTTCAGCTGTTCTACAGAGTCTGCATTACACAAGTACAAGCAGAAAGGACATGGACACTGTACAATTATTACTGTTAATAAATGAACAATAACAAACATTTATCTCCCACAGATTCCTTCAGGTTACTACATACAAACCATGAATTCAAACCTTCACATGGATGACCTTCTCTTGCCCATCGGTGTGATGAATGTCATCAGTATCCTCCCTCTGCTGTTGCTGGCTCCTCTGATGGAGTTGGTCACCTCCTGCTTCCTCTCCACAGGAAAACCTCCTCTGGCCCCCGTCAAAGTCATCAGTATGTATCTCTACACACTCACTCAGAGGTTCTGTCGTTACAGCTCCTTAATAAAATACCTAAATATTATTTTTTCTGTCTTTTCCTCCTTATAATGACTTCCTGACCACACCCCTTGTTGTGCAGACCCTCTTACCATCCCTCCCTGTTCATCCTCCCCTTTTAGCTTTGGGCCATGCTCTTGCAGCCCTCTCTCTGCTGCTGGCAGGTTTTTCTGAACTGCAGAGAAAGACCTATCCTCTGGTGGAGCAAACTCTCTCTGGAAAAGTCTTGCAGGTCTCTTCCATGCCCTGCTACTTCCTGGCCCCTCAGTACATTCTCCTTGGTATCGCTGAGGCTCTTGTGACACCTACCTGTGAGTACCAGACATTACAGTACATCTCACAGCTTCCCCAACCAGCCAGTCCCTATGGTGAATGTGTTATTTAGAAACCGTTTATTCACTTTTTAGGCTCATTTATATCCTTCCAGTTAACTCCCAGTCACATCAGAGGGATCTCACTGCACTTCCTCACACTGTCCTATGGAGGGGGCTGTTTTCTTGGCGCATTCATAGTTCTGCTTTTATACCTGATCTCTGGAGGTACTGACTGTTGTGTATATTATGAAAAAGTACTGGAATAACCCAAGTAAAAGTTCAAATAAATTAAATTCTCATCTCTTGACAGGTAATTTCTATCCAAATGTTCTTCATGAGGGAAATCTAGAACGGTTCTTCTTTCTACTTGCCTTTCTTCTAGCTGTGAATACACTTGTGCTTTGGCGTATCTCCTACAGGTGTAAAATTTGGACATTTCCACATAGAACCTCTGAAAAAATGTAATAATCCTAACTGAAATGTGTAATATTTTGCAGGTACCTTGACCTGTCTGTGCAGGGGAAAGCGATAGGTGTTAGTCCTTTGACGGAGAAACTGCTGCAGTATAAAGCCTGTCTACAGTTCTACAACACAGTCGAACTCTCCTACATAAACCACTCAGTCGAGTCAATTTTATGATTTACACTGTGTAACTTTTCTTCAAGTGGGTCCTCCATTTGCTTGTATCCATGGAATTGTTATTACTTTACCTGCAACGTTCCAAAGTATGGCACGAAGCGTTTCAGTCTCCATAGAAACAAGCAGGAGATGCCGTCAGGTCAATTTACATTTATTTTTGAGCAATACATGTATCCATAATTGAATAAATGCATCTTATGTAAGTTTAATGCCATATTGTGGAACATTGCAGGCAAAGCAATAGTATCTCCATGGTGCTGGATCCCCAAAATGAAAAGTTACACAGCGTACCTTTAAAGTGTGTATGACAGATTTTATGAGTTTCTAATTTTTACTTTACTTTAATTTGGTGAGGAAAAACTATTGTAAATATAAATTATAGTTTTACACCAATTAAGAAGCAATTTGCAAAGAAAAGTTGAAAATATGTTGAAAATTACAGGAAGTGGAGAGTTTTAAAACATATTGAGTCACACAAGGGAGAAATCTGTGCAAAAGTTAATCACAATTTATAAAAGAAACACATTTTTTTGATACTTTAAACATGATTTCAACAAAATAAAAATGTTTTCTTATGTTTATATTTGTCAGATAATAATTTCTGGGTAATAAAACGAGTTTTGAGCCAGTGTAAGTAAGTACATTTTATTCATATTAGTACCTTTCACAGGTAAAAATCATAAAGTGCTTTAAAGAGAGCAAGTACACCAGAAAACAATAATAAGTAAAACAGGGTCATAGGACTCAAGTCAACCAAAAGCTTTTCTAAACTGGAGTGTCCTCAGCTGCTTTTTAAGGGGCAAAGCATTCCATAATTTCAGGGGATCAGCCTGAAAGGAGAAGTCTCCCTGAGTTTTAAGCCTGTTTTTTGGGTTCTGATTGGAGCAGCAGAGGGAATGTCCCAAAGAGTAGGAGGTAAAAGGTCCAGGATGAACCGTGAGTCTAACCTGGCATAGGCACTTTAAATTTTTTCTTTTTTTAAATGCAAAATTATATGATACAAACAAATTAGCAATGTTAATTGTTCAAGCAATTAAGCATGACAAATGAGAGGTCAGACAGGAAAAATGTAAATAAAAAAATTATTAGGTGCTAGGAGTCTAAAGGCCTATTCATATTCATACTTCATAAGAACATAAGAATGTTCATATGTTAATTAACTTAATGAAGAAAGTTCTTATGTTCTTATGAAGTATGAATATGTATGCCCATAAAGTGATAAATCCATCTTCCAACTATAATAATAACATTCAGAAGTAGTTCATGTTTTATTCTTACATAGAAGTCCAAAGATAATGGCACTTTTAACTATAGCGGCTTGATTCATCATCTCTAAATCATTAAATCAAAAATTGTCAAATATGATTGATGCTAGAGCCTGACCGATATGGATTTTGTTGTGGCCGATATGAAACCGATATAATGGAAGTTGGAGCTGCCGATAGCCGATATAATCACTGATGTATTTAGTGATGTAAAAATTCACTGTAAATCTTGAATTGATTAAAAAAACTTAGGTTTGGCTCTAGTGGATTCTAAATTGGGTTTATTTAGGCAACATTTATTGTTATTTTGACTCTTTACATCATATTTACATACAGTAGATTGGCCTAATGGCATTTTTGCATCACATTCTAGCTACTAGTGATGGGTATTCCAGTTTTTTTTTTTTTTTTTTTTTTTTTTTGGAGAATCGGCTCTTTTGGCGCGGCTCACTAAAAAGCAGCTGGCTCTTTCGGCTCCCAAGCGACTCTTGAGATTGTTTTGTTGCAAGCAGGACTAAACCAGAACTGAACCAGGACTGAGTGTCGGGACTCGAGCTCAAGATTAGTCCTGGTTTATTCATTTTATGCTGAACTGCAGCCAAATATGCACTTTTTTTTTTATCCTATGCACACGCAGATTTCTGAAAGTTTCGTTTTCAGCCGCTGCTGCTGTCAAACTACGGGTCTACATGCGGCTTGAAGAGAAAAAGTGAGAAAAAGAGAAAACACGGCTCCCAATAAGAAGCAGGCTCCCGTTGTTCGCTCTAAGAGCCGCTTCGATCTCGACCGACCCATAACTCCTAGCTAGTAAACTATCGCTATTAGCCTTTAGCCGTAAATGCTGCGCACCGCTGTAGTTAATTATATGCATAAATGTGGATCATTCACACGTCTATTCACAGCTCATTTACATATCAATGCAGGTCCAGTAACAAATATACGGCCAAAGTAGTCACTTTACAATAGACCAATAGAAAACAGCCTGTTTATGTGTGGGAGCTACAGCAGCTAACCGCTAACAAAACCTAAACTAGCTTCAAAGTCGATGTATTTCCAACACTCACCGCTCACACAGGCTCCTCCTCACATCACAAGTCTGCACTAATAAATGTCCTTTTAATCCAGAGTCAAACCGATGGTCCGAAAAAGAATATAATCTCAATGTTGCGCACGGCTGCAGGTGTAAACAAACACACGAATGAAGTGACGTCACTCTGGTGGTGTGTTCATGGACAGTACGGACACAGACAAATTACACCGCAGATAAATACTGATGCGGAGCCACATATTAGGACATTTATCTGTCTGTAAATTGGATTAAATGAACATAATGTAGAGAGTCTAAACTTTATAACGAGGTATAACATGCCCACGTGAAATATCGGCCCATATCAGCAAGCATATCGGCCGATAGCCGATATGTCTCCAGGTGCCCATATTGGACGATAATATCGGCCAGCCGATATATCGGTCGGGCTCTAATTGATGTTTTCTTTTTTGGCACAGTATACATGTTAAAAATATATTTTGGGTGTTGCTGATTGTAAATATTTTTAAGATTAAAAATAAATTAGTTTTTCTAAGAACTCTAAAGTTACCAGCTCTTTCTTTAAGGTGCTATATTATGCAAAATTGATTCTTGTGAGGAAAAACATACGCGGCGTTGTGTTTTGTTTCATTCACATATGTCTACATCTCCAAAGCTCAAACTGCTCTGTTCCACCTTGTGATGTCATGTAGTGTTAGTTTTCATCAATTAAATCAATTAAAGGGCTGAAATTATCCAAATGATTCAAGTGAAGGTGTATGGAGTTGAAATACACAATGGAGCACTTCCTGTATTACCACATGACATCACAAGGTGTTTTCAGGAGTGTTTTCAGTTTGACAGAAGAACACAGCCTACATATGCACACTGTAAATATTTTCACTGTGAAATTACGGTAAATTATTGGGTAATAATTGCATTAATTTCACAGCAATTTGCTGTAAATATTTTCACATCAATTTACTGTAATTAATTCACAGTAATTTACCATAAAACAACAACACTTTACTGTAAATTCACAGTTGCCATGTCCAAGAATTACTGTGAAATAAATACGTTAAACTGCTGTGAAAATATTTACGTTGACTTACTGGAAAAGTAATGTAATAATTAACCAATAATTTACTGTAAATTTACAATTTAACAGCGTAATAATTCATTTTTAATTGTAATTTTACTGCACCCTCTTGCTTTATGCTGAAAAAAAAACAGAACAAAATTATGATTTGTTTTCACTTTTTAATCAAGCAGTGCAAAGTACAATTGCATTCAAGAGAAACATTATAATAGCAAATAGTTTTTAAAAACATATAAAAGTATAAAATGTCCATCAGCAAAAAATGTGCCATCAAAATGGCTACAAATGGAATCAAAATTAACTATTTAAAATGTGCAACAGCAAACAATGTACAACCACTACAATTCATGCATGTTTAGGGATAGTTCAACTTTTTGACAAACTGGCCCATTGCCATAATCCCTATAGTCATAGCAGTAGGTTTGTTACCTTTAACTGTCTGTACAAGCTGTTTTCAGATCAGTGAGCAGAGATATGACCTACTCAGAGCTACCACTATGGAGGCTCATGGAATTTCTTGGTTTCTCTCATCAAACTCATTAAATACATAATCCAACAACTCCAAAATGCTCTGGTGGACAAGTTGTGACCTGCACATTCACCACACTATGAGATAATAATGTGACGTTACCAGACAGTTGTTTTTGAGGTAAAAAGAGAGACTCGTAACATTGTCTGAGTAGCTCACGTCTATGCTCCACTGATCTAAAAACTGCTTGTACAGACAATTAAAGGTAACAAACCTACTACTATGACTACAGGGATTATGGCAATGGGTCAGTTTGTCAAAATGGAATCCATGGGTCATGACTAAAAGGCATACTCTCAAGTTGTTTAAAAAAAAAAACTTTCTACATTGCCTGCCACTCAAAATCTACTAGTTTGCGCATTAAAGTGCTTACATGTGGATTGATGCCTCCATGCTTTCTTTGTCTTCGAGCCAGTTTCTGAGTTAATACCCAGGAAGCATCTGTAAATCAACAAAAAAGCATTAATATCAGGTGATTTTCTTTATGTTACATGAGTATGTATGGATGTATGTATGTATGTGAGTGAGCAAGTGCATATGTATGTGAGTGAGTGAGTGAGTGTATATGTGAGTGAGTGTGTATATGTGAGTGTGTGTATATGTGAGTGAGTGAGTGTATATGTGAGTGAGTGAATGTAAATGTGAGTGAGTGCGTGTATATGTGATTGAGTGAGTGAGTAAGTGTATATCTATATGTGTGAGTGTATATGTGTGTGAGTGAGTGAATGTGAATATACTGTACCTCTGAATAAACTTCAAAGTACAGGAACTGTTTTCCCCTTCAAGATGTTGTGGTGTGGCCCCATCACCACTCGTTCCTCAACTGTCAACATCCATGCCCTTGGCTTCATCGGATCATCTGAAATGAGCAGATGTGTGCTGTCATAAAGATGTGGAATGTTGAATGTGTCATTGAGATTAAGTTTCATTCAGAAAAGTTTAGAATCAGAAGAGATGGAGATAAGATACTAAATTGAGCAAACCAATGTTCAAAACACCAGTCAGCTAGTTACAGTAAGTAAACATATGTAAGAAATTTATAATAATTTTAAAAACATTAACAGTTTTCACATTTTTCCTACTGTGCTATGCAAAATGTAAATTACATGGCTCAGCTATTTTTTTTTCCAAAATGGCATTTGTTTTTGCAAATTAACTCATATGCAGAAGAATAATGACCTAAATATCAAGTTTTTTATTCCATCATTTCCATCAAAAAAGTTGTTTAAAAGACAAACATCGAGCTTACAAGACGTTGATAAAGAAATGCTTGAAATATAGCCTATATACTGCTATACAGAGTGTTTTGTACTGTGTCAAACCAACTATCTAACTTGCTAACGTTACCGCAGCCACAGCCTCAAATCAAAATGTGGAGCAAAGATTTACTCTACTGTGACACAAAACGTCCCTTTAGCTCAAACTTAATAATACCAACTAACCATGTTAATCCTTCGTGTAGCCACTTTGGTGAGGTGGTGGGTGTTCCTCAGTGTAATTGTGTAGAAACAAAGGCGTCAGAGAATAAAAATTATTAATATGACGATCATCACACTTGTTTAAAATGTCAATATGGAGTGAACGCAAAGGTGGAAAACGAGGAGAAATTACCTTGACAATAATTTCTGTCTTTGTGTCTTTCTGTCTCTGTTCTCCTCTGGGCGGGTAACATCAAGTCTACTACAAACCGTTAATATTTGAAGAGAAAAAAAAAAAAACGGCGTCAGGAGCGCGGTTCATGTACTTTGCTGTGTTTTGCCTGTGTATGTGGGCGCGAAAACGGCGAGCATGTTGCTATTGCCAGAGACTTTGGATTGCTATCCTATAGCAAGTACTTTGCTATTGCTAGTTGCAAGTGTGGTGAGGCTGCAGCCGTATGGAGAAAGTGCTGTCCTGTCACCCTTCAGTCTTGATAAAGTAACGTCGTGTACGTGTCCATACCGCCTTGTACACTATCCCACTCGTAACAGCGCCATTTCAACTATTTCAGCTTGTGCTTAAGCTCTGGTTTGCTAACGCCAGGACTGAACCATGACTAAAACAGGAGTAAAACAGGGACTAAAACCAGAACTAAACCAGTGTCGGGATGGGCCCAGAGGTGTGCCCGCGGAGGCTGTCCGGTGACCGCAGGCGAATGGATTAGCTCTGAGCTCCGTGCCCCTCGTGGCTACGTGTGGTACAGTCGGTCCGATCGTGCTTTGCGGACATCTGCTCCGTGGGCTCCGTGTTCCCCCTGTCTCTCTCTCAGGTCCAAGATTAGTTCTGGTTTGTCCTGATTCAGTGGTTTAGACCTGGTATAGACCCGGTTTAGTCCCTGTTCAGTCCTGGCTTAGTTCTGCTTTAGTCCTATTATTTTTAACCCTTATATTGTGTTTGGGTCAAAATTGACCCGTTTTCAAGTTTAGGTATGTAAAAACTACCATTTGCTTTTTTGTACTGGAACGAGGCTTCATCTAATCCTCAGACACAACTATTTTAACACAACAAAATTAATTTTCACCATTTTAGTAAATTGTAAATGTCTCAAAAAAAAAGTGACATTTGTGGTGTTATGTACGAAAGAGCATTGTAGTCAGTGAAAAAAAAAAAAAAATCTGGAGGGGGGAGGGGATTATCTCGTAATTACGAGATAGTATCTCGTAATTACGCGATAACCGCCCCCCCCCCGAAAAAAATCTCGTAAAAACAAAATAAACTATCTCGTAATTACGAGATATTATCTCGTAATTAAGAGATAGTATCTTGTAATTACGAGATAACTTTATTTATTTGAATTTACGACAAGTCGTCACTTTCGTCACAGTGGGCGGAGTCGACACTATGTTGGATGAAATATGGCTGATTTACAAACTTTAATACACTTTTATCACCTTATTGGACTAAAGCATGATGAAATGTTACATTTTCTACAAGTGGATGGGTATAACATGAGTTTGTCGACTCTTCGGAGACGCCTTTGGAGTTTGGGATTGTTTCGGCAAACAACTAACTCAGAATTGCTTGACATCGCCTTGTTTCTACAGGATGAACTGGAAACCTACGACTGCATACAGTCTGGTTTGGTGGTGTCCCAGAGAACTGTGAGATGCCTTCTTCAGATTCTCGATCCAGATGGGGTAGAGCTGAGGTCACGCCGCCGTCTACGGAGACGTGTGTATGCCAACCCAGGGCCAAACTTCTTATGGCATGTCGACTCATATGATAAACTGAAACCATATGGAATTTGTATAAATGGAGCTGTCGATGGATTCTCACGTATGGTTATATGGCTACATGCCTTTTCAACAAACAGTAATCCCAAAGTTGTTGCCGGGTACTTTGTTAATGAAGTGAAGGAAAGAGAGGGCGCTCCTATGAGAATTCGATCGGACATGGGCACAGAGAACTCTGTCCTTGAAGAGCTTCAAAGATTCCTGAGAAGCAACCATGAAAACTCAGATCCCTGTTACATCACAGGATCCAGCAATCATAATCAGAGGATTGAGCAGTGGTGGGGAGTTTTAAGGAAGCACCACGCACAATACTGGATGAACATTTTTCAGGATTTGAAGAACAATGATACATTCTCAGGAGACTTCCTGGACAAAAATCTCTTGCAGTTCACATGTATGGAAATAATAGAGGTAATTATCCCTAACCTCCTGTAATCAATTTTCATAGTTTATTAAAGTAATATTGTTTTATTTATCTAAACACCGCCCATTTATTATGTTAGAAGTAAGATTTGTTTCCATTCTTTATCAATCTTTGTCCAAAGGTCCGTTCATGTGACCTCACAACTCTAAACAGCTTATAGTCTAATAATAAAGATAATATGAGACTTTATATTTCCCACAAAGGAGAAATGCACACACAGCAACTCACACTTGTCCACCTGAACCGCAGACTCAAACTCGATTGGCCAGGGGTCAGAGCTATGGCCTGCGCTCACACTTGTCATAACTAAACCGTGCCGTGACCCGATTACGTCATGCAGCGCTTTAGAAATTACTTCACCTCCCCGTCATTTTTTTACGGACTGGGTTTAAAAAAAAGTCTGTTATGAGCTGTAGTTGTACATCAAATGCATAGCCTCCTATTATGAAAAGCTTGAATAAAAGGCTGGTTTCTTTTCCCTAATATTTACAAATAATGCGTCGTCCAGACGACGCTGCAAAACCCTCGCCATAATTTTCCTCTATTTAACAGGCAATGGGCTCATATTTGGAAGTTAGAGATGCAATACAAAATAACATTGGTATTTTCTTCATTTTAATTTCACATTTAAGAAACATTGTGATCATCCACCTGTGTCTGCAGCAGAGCGCGCTCGGCCTGTCCCTCACCTCCGCTCCGCGCGCCACTCCTAACCACTGTTGGGCAAGTTACTTTGAAACTGTAATGCGTTATTTATTACCTATTACTGTCATTTCAAAGTAATTCGTTACATTACAATATTACTGCATTTAAAATGTAAGGCATTACATTACTATTGCATTACTTTAAGTTACTCTCACCAAAATAACTTTTGCACTGTATATGGACTGAACCAGGACTAAACCAGGTCTAAACCAGGACTAAACCAGAGCTGAACCAGGACTAAACCAGAAGTGAACTAGGACTAAAACAGGACTCACTGTAGGGACGGGCTCGAAGGTGACCGCAGGAGAAAGGAGCGGCTCTGCTCCGCACCTCACGGAGGGAAGAGCGGCTGTCACCCGATCGCTCTTTATGGACACCCTGCTGCTCGAGCTCGCGGCCCTGATTTCAGCAACTATTTGCAGGTACCCGAGCCGGTGCAAGAGTCTGTTACAGCGCGTAACTTCTACCTTCCTTCAGCGTCTCCAGAAGTCCAACTTTTTGTGTGATGGTTTGCATTTTCCTCTGCCTTTTGGGGGCGAGCGCAGGAGCCTTTGTCGGTGCAGAACGTTTCGTCGACGTTGTGGGTTTCGTCGGGGAGAAAACTTGCAACCGTACAGCACTTCAGAATCACACTGCTAGAGATTGAACATGTATTTAAATTTGGCAGCTGAACACATTCTGTACTGTACTGTAAAGGAGACAGGAGTCCCTTGGCCAGTCAGGACGCAGCGGGAGGAACGCAATACGCATTCATACAATGTAAAAAAAAAAAAAAAGGCATGCAAAATTGCACACACAAAAAAAAAAAAAAAAAAAAATCTGCGAGACCGCGAAAAGTAAACTGCGATAGAGGGAGGGACGAGTGTAAACCAGGTCTAAACCAGAACTGACCCAGGTCTAAACCAGGTCTAAACAGCGTGGAGTTCTTTGTCAGTCCTTTCGCCCGCGGTTACCTGAAGGTCTATGAGGGCGCATCTCCGGCGTTTCACCGCTGCTGATATCGAGGTGATTTTCGCTAATTTGTATGAAGAAAAAAACACCACTTCAATCCAGGTTAAAAAAAAAAAACAAAACATTGTAACGCGCGTTACTCACATTTGTACCGAGTAAAATATTACTATTTTTTCCCCTGTAATGCCTTACATTACTGCGTTACAGCAAAAAGTAATGCATTACTGTAATTCGTTACTTTTATAACGCGTTACTCCCAACACTGCTCCTAACCCTCTCTCTGTCTCTTCCTCTTCTGTTCCTCGCGTCCTTTTGATCCAAAACCAGTGCGCGAAACATGTGGGAAATTGGAATCATCGCAGATTTTCCAAGAAGAAACTTAAAGTAGCCTATGAAAGTAAAAACGTGGAAACTCTGTGTGGCGCGCTATGTGTGGCGCGCTGTGGAGGAGATGTTTCGCTGCGCGTGGGACAGCTTTGTCCGAGAGGCCGCGGTCACAGCTTAAGTTTTTTAGCTGCGACCACGGCCTCTCGGACCTAGCGCACCAAGGACAGCTCAGTAGCGCTTTTTCTTTCTTTTTTTTCCGATTACAGCGGCGCCCACGGCAACAGGTCAATCCGTGCATGTGCGCATGCATGAGCAACTGTGCCAGGCTCTGGCCCACCTCCTACTGGGCCAGAGTTTGGATCAGTGCCGCACCTGGGCACGGTTTGGACGCGCTCACACAACACAAACGAACCGTGCCATAGACGCCATCCCTGCTCTGGCACGGTTCGGATGGACAAGTGTGATATGCACACATTCAGTGCAAGGTGGAGGAGCTATGAATTCTTTTTTTGTAACTATGGCAACTGTCAAAATTCGGATTTTGGTCTTTTTTCATGGTTTATGGTTAATTTCTCTTTAATGGCTGGAGATATCCACATGAAACAAAAACTGACAAAGTTCAAAATCCTGTTTGTGCATATGAGCTACAGTCAAAGTACTGTCTTATAAATATGTCTAAAAGTGGGGACAATATTCAAAATAATGTGCTAGATGTTAGATGAAATGACTTTCACTTATGAGATGAATCTGTCAGATCTGTGAAACCACTCACCAGCACATAAGGTTCAACATTTGTAGATTTTATGTTTGAAGATTTTTCTCTCTCAAAGAGTTATAGGACTCTGACCTGAGACAGAGACCATGACATCGCGTTCTATAATGTTGTGAATGCAACCTGTTTAAATACTGTAATATATTTACATTTCTCTTGCTTATTGCGAGCTTATTGTGAGCTTATTGCTCGCCCAAAATCGTCTTAAATGATTTACTTCGGCGAACTTTGTTGGTTAACTTCTCTTACACACACTGAGCGCATTGTGCGTCAACAACCACTAGATCTGGCATTATAATAAAAGTTTTATCATTAATATTATTTATGTTCACTTCTACCTTTTGTTGCTGTTTTCAGAAAGAATTACAAGAAGTTGCACGACTTTGGAACACGCACACCATTAGCTGCAGTCGGAATACTGCCTGCCCAAGAGGAAAGCCTTTAATAATGTACAGACTTCCTCACCTTTTTGGATGCACGGACCACCTGAAAACTGCATCAATGGAACAAATAGAACTTTGCAGAGAGGAGATCCTCCCAAGAGGCCCCTACCCATGTGACGAATCGGTATTTGAAATTTGCTGTTTAGCAATGGCAGAAAATAATCTGCATCCACCATCTTCTTCCAATGAAGCTGTTGAACTCTATCTTTTTCTGAGAGACTATATTCATATGTACATTGTGTGAAAATGGCAAACTGCTTAACTGTAATATTTTCTGAAAGATCTATATGTATGTCCTAAGAAGTATAACACACGATGCAACATGATATTTACGAAAATGTTAATAAAATATTAATTCATAAATTCATAACATTTTGCAATGTTCAAGTAGATTCTTAAAAAAATCTCAAATTATAAATGTGGCTGGTGAGTTCTCATGTGCAGCTCTAGGACGTTTCCCATAGATTCAAGACTGCTGCACCCTCGCAGCCTCGACGCGTCTTCTGGGAGGACTAAATCATAGAAAGGTCAATACGGTTGTATGCCTCCTATAAGTACCACCGCTAGGTAAGGGAGAGCGCAAAAGGAAACAAAAGTCTAAAAAACTGCCTTCATATACCGCTTGGGTAGACCGGCAAGACTTGGATCTCGAACACGCACCTTATCCCGACAACTCCGGTGTGGGAGGCAGACACGCTGCCAAGTAAACTGAAGGCCAAGTCCCTGGCTTTGTCAGGAGCGCATCTATTTGAAGTTTTAGTAGTGTGGCTGTGGTGCGTGGGCTCATGTTCAATAGTGCAGCGGGAGATGGAGAGAGCGAGGAAAGAGTGGGCAAACTATCCAGACTTATGCATGAACACTGAATAAGTTCAGCTGGGTTGTCAGCTGGGGTACGTGTCATTTTTGAAAAATAAAGCATTAGCCTGCCGCTGCTGCCTTCTACCTCGCCACATAACAGACCTACAAATCCACTGAAACTCGTGCAGGTAGGTTTTAAGCGACCCGTGCCACTGACGTCAGTGGTCCGAGCGATGCGAGCCATAGGCACAGGAGCGACCACTGTTTTAGCAACAACCGCTAGAGGTGGGCAGGCGCTCTTCTCAGCCAGAAAAAGCGCTGGAACAACAAAGTAGAGTCCTGCACAGGCCTAACTTCTGGGCCCAAGTCGGCCCTGCTCCATGAGGTTCGAGCACGGCCCGGCCCGGCCCAACACACTTTCAGAATTAATGGGCCTGAACCCGGACATGTCCGCTTTTTTAGGCTTCAGTAGGAAACCTGCATATCGCCGTTGCTTTGTTTCCTCCCAACTTCCTCTGTGTGTCGTGCACACCGCGGCTGTGCCTCACTCTGTCATCTTCGCACAAAGAGAGTCTTATCGGCCGGGACAATGTGATGTCCCGAGTCACGTCCGGGTGAGAAGGTTTTCGTGATTTCCCTGTTGTATTGAAGGCAAATAGAGATATGGGGCACCAGCCCCGCCGCGCAGCATCCCCGGATCAGCGCTTATAAGAGCACACGCCGTACCATATAGAGCGCACCGCATCACGGCTCTGAAATAGGTTTGATCACGATAAGGGGAGAGTGTCTAATCTGTGCACTAAATGTATAATGCAGGTGTCTGAGCTGAGACGTGAGTGGTGAAAAGAGGCGTGTTGGGCTTCTTTGAGTGGAAATGAAATGGAGCGTAAAAAGATTCTCACGAGCTCGTGCAGCAGAGAGCAAGCCACTAATGACGCGCACACGCTCAGGTGTGTGTCCCACTGCCGCAGAGCGGCCGCTGTCAGGTGCGCATAGGAGCCATACGGTTCAGACCCACAGACTAAGGAGGACTAGCCTCAGCGGCGAGTGAGGTTAGTTAAATGATGTGCGTATGTTTTTCTCTTCGCGCGGTGGGCATCGACCTTGAGGACTAGCAGCGCCACAAGGCCTGATCCCCCCGGGCCTCGACGGAGGTGCGCGCGTCCTCATTAGGATTGAAATCAGCCGAGTGGCGCACTCGTCCGAGTAGTATTTTGTGTGTGGGTACCATTAGCGCTTAGTTTTTGGGTCCTGATGCCAAGACCGCAGCCCCACTGTTAAGGGTATCTGACTTGCGCAGACTTAACATGGTGAAAAGAAAGCGGGGCGTGTATTTCTCAGTTCAACCTTTTATTATCACACTGCAGATCTTTCTTGAATCATATATATCTGTTTTAACAAAAAATGAGTGCATACGTCACACGTCACCTCAAGGAAGCTGAACCAATCAAACCATTACAATTTAATACAACATTAATAAGAGCGTTATTCCACAACTACATTCAACACCCCCACTCGCTCTTATGTCACTAGCTACATGGAGAAAACAAAATAACAGAATGAGACTTATATTGTTTTAAAGTAACACATTTAAACACCAAACATTTCCCTTGAAAACTTTCTTAACTTGAGCTTAGTAGCTGGCTTTGTCAGTATATCAGCAATCATTTGCTCAGTAGCACAGTACTCCAAAATAAACCTCCCATTGTTTATATTTTCCCGAATAAAATGATATTTTATATCAATATGCTTCCACCGCTGCCTGTTGACTGGATTTTTGGCTAGTGCTATGGCACCTTGGTTGTCTTCATACACCTTTGTCTGTGCATATTGATAGGAGTCTATACCCCTGAGCAGCTGCTCTAAATAAATGCATTCTTGTATGGCTGATGCTAAGGCGATGTACTCTGCCTCACAGGTTGATAAAGCCACTGTTGGCTGTTTTCTTGTTTTCCATGATATCAGAGAGCTACTCTCATTTAGACTGGCACAATACCCTGATGTACTTCATCTATCCGCTGAATCTGATGCCCAGTCAGCATCACTGTAGACCCTTAGGCCTAGTTTTCCTGTTCTGTTGTACCCTTAAGGTACCTGAACACATTTAACTGTGTTCCAGTGTTCAACAGTTGGTTCAGCAAAATGCTGTGAGAGTTTACTGACCACAAAACTTATGTCTGGTCGAGTACAAGTGGACAAGTAAATTAAACTTCCCACTGCTTCCCTGTACTTTCTTGACTCTTGCATTTTTTCAGCGTTTTCTCTGTACACAAGTTTTGGTTCACATGGAGTTTCTCTAGGCTTGCAATCCTGCATTCCAAATCGATCTAAAATCTTCCTCACACTTCTCTCCTGTGACATTTTCACTACACCATCTGTTTGTTCAAATTCTATCCCCAAGAAATGTCTGACTTTTCCCATGTCTTTCATTTTGAACCTTTCAGTAAGCATGTTCTTTACATTTTTTAATACACTCTCATTGTTAGCTGCTATGATCAGATCATCCACCCATATTATTAGGATTATTTTTTCATTGTGCCTTTCCCTTGTGTACATACATGTATCAGCTGTGTTCTGCACAAAATCATTCTCAGTCAAACATGCATGCAACATAGCATTCCAATTTCTCCCAGACTGTTTTAATCCATAGATAGATTTCTGTAGTTTACACGCTAGTTTATGACCCATTTTTTATTTTCTCTCATAACCTTCAGGTTGTTCCATGTAAATTTCACAATCAATTGGTGCATGCAAATAAGCTGTCTTAACATCCATCTAGTGTAAGACTAGGTTATCCTGGACAGCCTTTTGCATGACAACTCTCACACTTGTCATATCAGCTGTGGGTGAAAATGTCTCTTCGTAATCAGTACCTGGTTTCTGACTGTAGCCTTTTGCTACGAACCTTGCCTTGTATTTATCAGACCCGTCAATTTCTGTTTTTAGTGCATAAACCCATCTACCCCCCACTGCCTGTTTGCCCGGTGGCAACTGAGTGAGGGTGAAGGCTTCATTTTCCTCCAGAGATTGCAACTCCTCTTTCATGGCGTTCCTCCACTGCTTTGCTTTGGTTGACGCAATAGCATCCTGATAAGTTTGGGGTACATCACACACTGCTCTGTAGCAAAAATCCATGCATGAGTTTAGTGTGTCTTCCATATTTTCTGTCTCAAAGTCCTGTAGGTGAGTTGGTCTCCTTTTAGTTCTAGGTGGGTTCCTTCTGTTCACTCTGTAACTTCACCTGGCTGTGTGCACTCTGTCTTTTCAGGTAAAGTCTCAGTAACACCACTGTGAATACCCTGTCCTGGTACATTTTCAAGTTTTTCAACAACCCTCTCTTCAGTGTTGTCATCCCCAGAATGTACACCCCCATAATCTGTGTGTGACTCAGTAGTTTGTGTTTCCTTTTCCTTGGTTGTCTTAGTGGTGAATTTTACCAACCTATGCTTTTGGACCCTCTCTGTGTCTGGATAGTACACTAGATAGGCGGGGCTGTTTTTATCATAGCCTATGAAAACACCTTGCTCACATCTGGAATCCATTTTGCCTTTCTCTTGCTTGTAAGCAAAACACACAGATCCGAATTTTTGTAATCTGGATATGTTGGGTACATTGCCTGTGAATAGCTCGTATGCAGTTTTCTTTGTGCGCTTGCTGTAACACCTGTTTCTCACATGTGCTGAGGTCTGAACAGCGTAGTTCCACAACTTATCTGGTAACCTGCTTTCAATCAGCAAGCATCTGCTCATATCATAGAGTGTTCTCCAACCTCTTTCAGCAGTGCCATTTTGGTGGGGTGAGTACGGCGCAGACGTCTCATGTCTAATCCTATTCTTTGTTAGCACTGTTTGGAAACCTTGATTCATAAATTCAGTGCCGTTATCTGTGCGGATACACTTGATTTCTCCATAAGGCGCTGTGTCTGCTAAGAACTTTTCTGTGCCTGGATTGTGTCACTCTTGGACTTGAGAAAATACACAAACATAGTACCTGAATAATCATCTGTAAAGGACTGGACATATCGGTGTCCTTCCATGCTTGGAGTTTGCATAGGGCCGGCTAGGTCAGTGTGGACTAGTTCTAAGGGGCTTTTTGCTTTCCTATCAGGCTCCCTATTTCTGGTCTGTGTGAATTTTCCTTGTGCACACACCTCACACAACTGATCCAACCTAGTTGAACTTCCCTTAATCTCCATACCCTTTACAACACCTTGCAAACTTTTCACATCTTCATAGTTACAGTGGCCCAATATTTGATGCCACGTCTGTACATCATGACACACTTTACATTGATCAATATTTTTCTCGACAGTTGGTAAGTAATACAAGTTTCCATTCTCATGTATATCAAACCTGCAACCGCCTTTGGTCACCATGTGACTGTCTCCTTTCTTGAAGGTGATAGTCGTCCCTCCGCTTGTTGCTTTTGCCACTGAGAAGATGTTGTGTGGGTATGATGGCATGTACAGTGCATTCCGTAGCTGCGCCTTGTGTTTCTGTCCAGCGTTGTCTAGAAGATG